TCAAATACAGAGCACAATCTCCAAAATGATCACATAGTCAAATTTTGGTTTTTGCATAATGGGAACAACAACAAAATAAGACTGAAGAAAGGTCAGTGATAAAATGGAAAAGGTTCAGTGTAGCAAAGTCCGACCTCCAACAGACCACTGTGATGTGGAAAGTTTGTAAAGAGTTTGATCAGACAGGGGCAGCAGGACTCTGAATTTAACTGGAGTAGATCCTCATCTACAAACAGGGACTCTCAGAGAACCAGTGAATCAGCCCTGAGTCACGATGAGAAACTGGTCTGTGTTTCATGTCTAAGTCTACATGTGTCATCATATGATGGGCTGTAGTAAAAAGTCATGTTGTAAAACCAGAAAGAAGGAAGCAAAAAAAACCCAGAGAGTCACATTGTTCAGCTCCATGTTTCCTGTAAATGACTATCACACTGTTCAAATGTACTTTTGTGACAGACTTTAAAATGTCACGGTCTGTCCTCTTTGTGTTTTATTGTTTGAGATATTTCATCAAGTTTCAGTCCTGATAGTGAAACAATACTTTTGACGTTACTTTTGGTGGTTTTTGACTTCAGTTGGTTTTATATTTTGTCTGTAGAAAAGTTTAAGGGTACTGCAAAGTTTGTTTAGTTTTTTTCCCTTTTACGCCAAAATAAAAAGAAATAAAGTAACATGTACAGTGATTTTAAAAATGACTGGCTTGTTTTATTTAATATTTCATATATGCATTCTAGATTTTGTTTGTGTATCACATTGCTGTATTTTCAGTTGCTGTCACATGTTGCTGATATTTTAAAATATGTAAGTAATGTAATGCTTGTGAAAATATTTTGTACCTGATCATCAAGACCTACAACTGAAAGTGAAACTAAGTCTACAGGTTGTTTCCTCACTGTAAAGCTGAAAACAGCTGAAACAATTAGTTTATCAATCGATTAGAAGACCAACATGTAATTAGTTTACAATAATTTTTTATAATTAATTAATTTAAAGTCAATTAGAAAAAAATTCTCCAGTATCAATTTTAAATTGAATCAGTTGATTGTTTAATTTGGTGATTGTTTTGAAAGGTTCTTTACAGTCCTGAGGAGGTGAAAGTAGTCTGTAGTTTACTATTTGTGTGGAACTTCATTTCCTTTCTTATCCCTTTAATCATCTGGTGATCCAATGTACAGATCCAGATTTTGCAAAAAACAGCTAATAAAAAAAATGTGGGAGAAAAATGGTAGAGGCAGACACAGGTTGACCACTGATGACAAACTGAACGACAGAAGAGAAAGAAACAAACTGACCTTCTTGGTTGTACCACAGCTCCGGGTGGTGGAGGAGCCGAAGGAGGTGGAGGGTTCAGAGAAGCCACTGTCCAGCCTCTCCTCTGCCTCTTGCTTACTGTACTCAGGTGGAGATGCTGCTTTATGGTGGGGGGAATGGAGTGGAGTCTGGGAGGCCTTCTTGGCCCTGGCCCTGGGAGCAGCCTCAACAGGCCCTCGAGTCCTGAGCGGGGCCTGGAAGTTAAAGGGGCTATAGGGGTCTGAGGAGGAGCTGAAGGAGCTCCACAGACGGAGGCTTTCGGCTTCATCCACCTCACTGGCCGAAGTTGAGTCATCCCACACATCGTGACCGGACGAAGGGGAGAAAGAGTTTAGGGGAGGGGAGGCTGCCAAGGAGGAGAGAGGGAGAGGGGTGAGGTCAGGGGAAGAGGCAGGAGTGGACTGGGTAGAGGATGGTGGTGTGGAGGTGGGGATGGTCCTGGGTTGGGTTCTGCCAGTGTGTAGCTGGGCGGTGAAATTTTGGGGGTTGTAGGGGTCCACACTTTGGCACAACGAGCTCCACAGGCGCTCCGTCTCAGAGTCCCCCTCGCTGTCCGAGTCTGAGCCTTCGTCATCATCTTCATCGTCTTCATCAGTGGTGTCGGACAGATCAGATGACCCCTCGCTGTCAAAACCATCATCATCGTCATCACTGGACTCCCTGTCTGATTGGCTGCTGTCGTCATCATCACTACACGGGCAGCCCATGATGAAGGCAATGGCTTTGTTCGGGCACTGGGGGGTGGAGTGCTCCGTTGCCCCCGCAGACTGACACTCCTGAGGGGCTGAGTGTTGAGTGTTTTCTTCCTTATCTACCTTTTCTGATGTAGACTCTCCTTCCTCAGACGACTCTTCCTCCATCTCTGTTGTGTTGACAGTGGCACAGTTTTCAGTCGGTTCGGTCTCCTGGTGTTCTTCAATTGGGGCTTTCACCATGTGCAGGTGGCACATCTGGAAATGCTCCTCCTCCAGACTGGAGTAACCATTGTCCTGATCAGGGGTCAGAAGTGCCACCTCACTGCAGGCGGCGGCAGCTCCTGAACTGCTCAGGTGGTTGCTGATGTTGAGCTGGTGGTCTGGTGTGGACCCCTCTGTGTTCTGGACTGTGTGAAGGCCTCCATTGTTAGCCGGCTCCTCTTTGTGGTCAGTCGGTCCAGTGTTTTCTCCCAGAGTCGATTCCCTGCCGTCCCTCTGGACAAACACATCGGTTGTTTCGGCAGCAGGGGCTTTTGTCTCAGCCCCTGGTTGCTGTGGACAAAGCTGTCCTGTCACTGTCCCCTCCTCAGCCCAGGACAAATCTGACAACAGCCCTTTCTGTGAGCTCTCCTCGCCTCCCCAAAAACTGCCCCACCATGTCCTGCTTTTACCACCGCTGCTCTTCACGGTGGAGCTCATTGCCTCGGACACCCAGTCTTTCCCTCCCGTGGGTTTTATTTCCTGAGATGACACCGAGCTCAACATAACATGACTGAAAAAAGTCCTGGCAGAAGAGAAATATCCAATCTGAGATTCTTGTCCAAAGTCCATTTCTGCGTTTTGAATCCCTATTTCCCGCAGAGAATCAGCGGTCAGCCAGGGTAAAGTAGAGCCGTCCCTCGGCTCCAGCAGGCCGGCAGCTCCGTTGTGCTGACAACGCAGGTAGGTCAGGTGTGGAGCCGCGTGCTGCGTTAGCGGCATCATGTCGTCCAGTTGTCTTAAAAACTCTCTCTCTTCGTCAACAAAACTGCCTTTTAAATCTCCATTTATCCACCCGGTTCCCCTATCAGACATGGTCGGGTTTCGGGGTCGACCCGGGAGATATTTCTGCAGAAATGACATCGCGGGCCTGGACACCACGGACAGCAGGCCGATCCACGAGCTTTCCTGATTGTCAAGCCCGACAGAGGTGACTCCATGCCCGGTCGGAGAGGACGAGCTCTGCCCGCCGGACAAATGTCCCCCATCACTCATGTTTCTGAACATTTTCCTCAACTCAAAAGTGCAAAATATAAATGATCTGACATTAAATGAGTAACAGTGGTAAGTAAGTCACAGAGCCACGCACTCTTTAATAGCAGATCAGCTCCTAATTTGACAGCTGTCAGACTGAAGGAGACTGCAGCCACAGGTCCGGGTTAACAGTAGCAGTTACTGTCACTATCCATTTAAACACGACAAGTCTTTCTAATGAAACATAGTCCTTACACCGATTGGCAAACATACCGATAACCACAGTTAGAAGGAACCCAGGAAATATCGTCCATGAGCCCGGCGCGCTCCGCGGCGTCTACGCTTCGCTGAGAGTGGTGGTTGGACTTCTTCCTTGTAGACAATTTGGTGGAGACGAAGCTGTAGGCGAGAGAAAGGCTGAACACGCTTGAGTCTGGATACGAGGAAAAATACAGGTGTGAAGACGAAAAAAGAGCCATTTTGTCTGATTTTAATCTCCGTGAAAAAGCGGCGGCGGCGGGTGGAGGTCTCCTTTCAGCTGCAGCTGATATAGCTAGCAGATTAGCTTAGCAGAAGCAGCTAGCTTGACGGTTAGTTAACCGGAGAGCAACGATTGATTCAAAATATTCGACCAAAAACCACAGTTTAACAGATTGGTTGTCCCGTTTTAGTTGTTTTTCACTCGTTATTGTGTTTTTTCTGTCTCGGTTTTCCTTCTAAAGTAAAGATTTCACCGCCGTGTCGCTTCCGTCTGTTCAGAGAGATTTCATCAGAAAGTCAAGGGACCGTCCGCAGTGACTCGTCTTTCCTGTAACGTGAAACCTGCGGTTAGGGAGCGTCGCAGTGTTACTGAAGCGGAGGGAGCGTGTCAAAGCGGCAGCATGTGCCCCCTGGTCTGAGAGTCCAAGGTCCCTCTGCAGGTCTGTTACATAAAGACACAGGGTCCCATGTCACTCTGCTGGTCCGCAGGTGCTGCTGCCATGTGTTTATCAGCCTGAGACTCCCACACGGCCACACAGTCCCTTATTTAGACCCAAAGCTCTGTCAAAGCTGCAGGGAAATAGTTAAAAATAGTTTAAAGGAGAGGAGCGAATCTATTTAATTGTATTTTCTTTAAAATAAGTTTACTGTTACATGTGAACCCCCTCATTGCTATACTAATTAAAACTTATTTAAAATTATTTAATGAAGTATGGATGAGTATATATATATATATATATACATATATGCCTACATACACACACACATATAAATATATATACATACAGTATATACATATATAGGCCTGCACACACATATATATAAATATACATATACATATGTTGGTTTAGCTTGTTTTTTTATTTTTGCCCTTTAATTTTACTTTTATCCTCATACTGTTTTTATGTGTCTTTTTTTAGATTATCTCATTTCCCTTTGATCCACATCTCAGTGGATGGTATCTCTCAGTTGTGATCTTGTAGGATGTCTCCTCCCACCGACTTTAAAGTTCATCTTAAAAAATCAATTCTTGACATTAAAAAAAAATCATCTGAGCACAGATACTTTATTCTTAAAAAAAAAAAAGTATGTAAATGTATTTTTTTTAACTAACATGATTATGTTAACCCTGCAGAACAGGCAAAAAGCATTGAAGGCAGAGGAAGAAAAAGACAGGAGAAAAAACAATAAGCATGTGAGACAAGACAAAGACAAAGAAAAGTAAGAAAAGAACAGAAAACAGAGGAATGAAAGAAAACATGTTTCAGAGGAAGCTCAATATACTTTTTTCGATTCAAGTTTATTTTTTAGTGCAAATAATACAAAACATGTTCCAAAATTAAAGTTACACATTAATAACAGCTTCTTTCTATGTTTGAAACTAAATCAGAACGGTGTCTCCGACTATGCTGCAGTGGGAAATCCAATCACATTTTCATTAACTTCAGTATGTCCAGTACAAATAAAGATCCAGTTCATTTTGAACTTACATTCTCTCCCTGCAGTCTCAGGGGTCAGGACTCAAACTCACGAACTTTGCTGCACACCACTCTTTTCCATCACATAGATAAATGTGTTTTAACGTTTCGGGAAGCTCAGTCTCATCAATTCAAGTTTTTACTGAATTCTATTTCATAAACTGCAGTTTTTAAAAAAAGAGTTTAAACAGATTTTTAAAGACTAAATCCACTTTTCTGAGTTAGTTTAGAGGTTTGGGGTGTGGTCTTGATTTGAATGCATCCTTTTGAATATTAACATTGAACTGAAATTAAAATTCATTTTTTAAAATATCTGTATATACTGTATATCCTTGGTGTTACTTTTTATTTGTGTAACCTATATTTAGTCAAAAGTGGTATTCTCCTAAACAGCCAACATGGTGACTGTACAAATGTTAGCTGTAACACTGTGACTGTCACTGTGACACAGGTAGAACAGGCAGCCTGTTACCAGACGCCAAAAACCAAGCTATTGTACAAGGCACACAATTGTACATTAAAATCCAGCCTGCCGAGCACCAAACACTGAGTTTTCGGTTGTTTGAGGGTCTGAGCTGTGGTTCACAGTAATGTTACACCCACAGGTTGGGCTCCGACTGCAGGTTAGTATTTATTATACAGACTACTGGACACACTGAGCACCCCAGCATGTAAGCACACAGCTTACAGGTGAATATTTTTGGCTATAAACAGAGTTTATCAGAGGCTGTGATTGGTGAGAGGAGCAGGGATGTGACTGAATCATTCATGGCAGATCCAGGGTCAGTTTTCTCTAATATATAATGTATAATATATACACTATTTCACTCTTATGGACAAAACTACGAAACGTTCAGGGGTTGTTAGAATTAATCATCATACAAAGGCCTGTACATCTGAGAAACTGAGAAACAGCTGCAGTCATCTGTGTCAGGGTGTGTTCAGGTACAGTACTGAGTGTAGGTCACCTGTGTTTTCACAGGATCCAACAAACAATCGCTGTACTTACGCACAGGAAATGGAAGAAAATAGCCTCAAAGAGTGAAAATACATTTCAGGTTGTGTTTGTGTGTGTGCTGCAGAGCCTGTGCAGACAGCTGGATCAATGAAAGTGTATCTGTTCTGACAGATGTGGACTGCACTGAAACGCCTCCTGTGCAGACTCTCTGGAAGCTTGTTAGCCACATACGCAGCAACTGTGTGTGTGTGTGTGTGTGTGTGTGTGTGTGTGTTGGTGTTTCTGTGTGTTTGTCTGACTGATCTTTAGTCACATCTTTCTGCATTTTCTTTGACTTCATGTGATCACACCGCCTCTAAGATTCACCTCACACACGCTCTGGATGTTGCATCAGTGTTTGAAGGACATACAGGGCTGTCACTTGATTCAGTCAGTACCGTACCATGTTAGCTGACAGCCTGCCTGTCAGTCAACCACCCCCAGCATCAGATGGCTACAGCCCTGATATTCTCAATATGGGTTTAAACCAAAGCGCTGAGCCTCAGCTGCAGCAAACAGATAATTAGGAGCATTAGGGTCAAAGGTAAAGACAAAGTCCTTGAAAATATCTCAGGAAACCAGTTCGACTGAATTGTTGACATTAACATTTGGAGAAGAGTGGTGAACAGAGCAGATCAGTGGAGTTTGTTTCCTGCAGGTTCGTCCCCTCAGTTTGTCTCGTCTACAGCGCAAAAAACAACCTGCAGAAAATAAATTGGCTCCCCTTCAATATTCACTGCAGCCTGGATCATTAAAAACCCAGAGAGGCAGTTTAAAAATGGCCACAAAACTTTCCCAAAAAGTACAAAATCACAGGCAGAGAAGGAATAAAATGTAGAAACAAGCAGCCGGAGGGGCCGAGCAGATTATTGAGATCTGAGAGGAAAAAAACCAGAGCGGGACGAGCTTAAAGGCAAACAGAACAACATGTCCCCCTGTCAGGATCTATCCCTCAGACATTACGAAGCTCTCATGCAGAACAGATCCACCTCAAAGCTTCAAAATCAAATCCACATCCACACTATAAAAAAATATCCTGCAACAACCAACCAGAAGACCGGTCGGATCCACTCCACTCGATATGAACACGACTTCCTGTTAGCAACATTTAAGCTAAAACTCTGTATGTACACAAACACAAAAAGGTAAAATTCATCTTCTCTGATACTTTGTGCTGAAATCACAACCAAGACTTTGTGTGTTTGCTCCGTCTCTGACTGACTCAACTTTTTATTCTTGGGACACAAAAAGCTGCAGGAAAAAATGTCACTGGAATTCCTTAAGGGAAATGACTCAACTGACCAAAAATGGGGTTTCTCTCGTATGATGCAGAATTTCATTCATCTTCAAAAAAAAAAAAAAAAAGTTTCTTTTTCATTTACTTTTTCATTTATTTGAAATCGTGTAAAACGTGAACCAGCTTCTGAACATTAATGTGCTGTTTGTTCGTCATCGTCCCTGCAGATAAACACCTTCTCCACCTTCATCCATGACCAGCGTGCGTTTCCCAGCATGTCATTTTTAACTTATCTGTTTTTCTTCTAGAGCTTCTGATGATTTCACCTGCCACATCTACGACTTCATTCACATCTGAGCAACATGTGCAGACAGAGAGAAATAAACAGAATCCAAACTGGACGCCACTCTGAGCCACTGAAATCACTTCATAGGTAAATCATGTCAGGGGGACAGACGATGTGAAGACCGGACGGCTTCCTTCATCCTCTGATCTCATGAAGCCTGGGACGCAGACAGTCTGTCTGCCTGCAGTGAGTCCATACAGAGTTCTTCATTTAAATTAAGACATTTCCTTTTTTAATTTATTCTTCAAATGTCTTTAAAAGTCTTAAAACTAACTGTGACTGTGTGTTTTCAAGTTAAAAAGTGTAAAAGTGAAAGTTCTGCTTAGAGTTCACATATACATGTGACATTAGAGGCCAAGTTTAATTCAAAACTACTTTGTTAGTTTAACTCATTAACTTTGAAGTGACTTCACTGGGCAGTTTGTTTCTTGACATCAGGAGAATTTGAAATGTTTTAGGAGCCGACTGTGTCAGAAAAATAATTAACTTATTATTTTTTTAATCCAATAAATTACTAATAAAATGTTATTGAGTCAGTTCTCCCTGTGTTTAAAAACTAAACAAACAGCTTGAAATGAACCGTGATGATGTCAGTGAAGTGACCTTTAACCTTAAACTCCCTCCCACACAGAGGGAGGATCAGCCACATGGCTTTTACTTTGAAAGGATTTTTCCTTTTTTTCCTTTGTCCTCCTCGTGAGGACAACTGCTTCTCTTCTTCTCTTCCTTTACATCTGCCACTTCCTGTTTCCTGTCCATCAGTGGGCGGAGTCAGAGCCAGCGGCGCCCAGCTGGTGCCAGTCCACCCAGTGCTGACCCGGGACCAGCTTCTTCAGGGGGATGAAGGTCTCTCCCAGCAAGGTGTTCTCCCAGAAAGCCCCGTCACCCAGGACCCGCAGGTGGATCACCCTCTGGTCCAGGTCCCCCCGAGGGATCCGCTCGTACACCAGCTGTAGGGATGGGGGGTGTGGTCAACAAATATTTAATATTAACAGTGTCTTTGGTATAAAGTTGAATATCAGAGTCAGACAGGATCAGTTTGTACCATCTCGTTGTAGGTGGGGTTACAGGTGCGTCGTGCTGCCTTGGTCTTCCTCTTGCTGGTCTTCTGGGGGTCGGGGAGGAGGTAGAGCTTCACGTAGGGGTCTGGGTCTGTCCCGTCCTGCAGGGGCTGCTGCACAGACCACACACACATCCACGTCAGTATTCACGTCTGTCTGAAAGTTAATCTACCTACATTCAGCTGGGTTCACAGCAGCCAATCAGAACATCTGTATGAGAACTCATGAGTCTCAGATGGCCTCCAGTAAAATCAGCAAACAGGAAATGAATCATCAGATTAATCAATAACTGTTCTAAATCAATAATAAACAGAATTATGCGTTTATTGTCTCCTGCCAACACGTCTCAATAAACACTCATCACGTGACAGTCAGAGTCAGACTGACCAGTCCTCGTATGTGCATGACCATGATGAAGAGTTTGTCGTTCTTGTAGGAGATGGACAGTTTGACTTCACCGAGCTCTTTCCCTGAAGCTGGAGACCACGAGATCTCTGCAACACACACACACACACACACACACACACACACACACACACACACACACACACAGAGTACACACACAATACATCCACAACACACACAGAAACACATTGGAAACTGATTAAAAGTCATCGAACATATAAAACTAAAAACATACAGTTGATGTCCTTCGTTAAACTGACCTGAGTCTGTATGAGACCCAGGTCCCTGCACTCAGACCTGCTCCTGACTGCAGCTCTGATACTGTGTTCACACATGGAGTCGGTCTTTACTGCACAGTTACTTATTAACAGAGAGGAGACACAGAAGAAGAAGAGACGTTTCCTCTTCTAATAATTTGTATTACCTCCTCATAAAACCAGTGTAATGAGTATAACCAAAGACTCAGTGGGAACACACTGACGTATAAACTCACTTCAGTGTGTTTGAAGTGAACACTGTTTATCTGATACAGACAGGAACACACTGGACTTTAACCCTGACTCTGTTTGTGTGTGTGCGTGTGTGCGTGTGTGTGTGTGTGTGTGTGTGTGTGTGTGTGTGTGTGTGTGTGTGTGTGTGTGTGCTCTGAGTCGTCAGGTGTGTGGGGGTGTAAGGGTGGATCAGTTGAACTTTAACAGAGTTTTTCAGTCATGAATCAGGATCAGGTGCACACACACTATTAGTGCTAATCTAATAATTTAATCTAATGTCACACCCACTGTCAGTGTGTTCAGAGTTACAGAGACACACACACACACACACACTTAGACAGACTCACAGTCTGATAACACAAAGAAAAGTGAAAGTATTTTTATTGTTACTGTCTTTACACTGGCAGCCGGTCTGTTACAGAACTGATGTGAACACCAGGTCCACAGTGAAACTGATCTGTGTCCAGCTGGTTTTAGCAAAGAGCTCTGTCCACAGTCAAACACCTGAACAGCACCAACACAGGTGAATCTCTTCTTCTTCAAACTCTTTTCAGTTTAACATCAAAACTGCACCACAGCAACATCTGGAGAGGCTGATAACATCTGTTTTATTTTTTAACATCTGTTTAATATATTTAAAGATACAGGCTCCTGCCAGTTATTAAGGCAAATCTACATTTACATTGATGGACAGAAAATAATATAAAATATTAAAGATTAAACTAAACGTCCACTCTCATTGGTCAGTTTTCAGTCGTGTGTGTGTGTGTGTGTGTGTGTGTGTGTGTGTGTGTGTGTGTGTGTGTGTGTGTGTGTGTGTGTGTACCTGCTGGTTTGCTTGCTGTTGTCCCTGGTCTCTCGTCTCTGGGCAGTGGGTGGAAGAAAGTGTAGACCAGGTCACACTAACACAAACACACACATAAACACACACATTATTCACATATTCGTGTGTGTGATCAGAAACTCCTGATGCATTGACAGATGAGACTTTTAATTTGACATCTACACAATTACTTGCTGTAATAAAGTTTTTCTATGGAAAAATACATTTTCTCAAATTAATGTTTCTTTTTCTTAATATATCTACACATTAACAGGGCTACACATCCAAGGGAAAAAAGAAGTTATACTTAGTCAGGTTTATGGAAATATACATGCAAAAAAATACAATAACATATGTTCATTTTCAGAGCGTGGGGGAGAGTTGACGTCCTGCCAAGTTTCTAAACCTGGACAGACCTGATACAGCAGCAAGGATCCACACCCACAGTGTGTGCGCGTGTGCGTGTGCGTGTGTGTGTGTGTGTGTGTGTGTGTGTGAAAATGAAACTTGAGTGGATGTTGAGAACATGAACACAGTGTTCTGATCAGTCCTCAGCGTCACTGAGCTTCATAAACAAACAAAGAAACTGAAACCTTTAACTGAGTTAAACTGAAAGATTATTTCCGATATAGATAAGCCAGAAAGTCATAAATAAAAAAGCAGGATATGTTTCATTACTGGAGTGCATCATTTAAACAAACGCAAATTCATTCCTTATGTTATTTAATTACATTTTTAAATACATGAATTTATTAATGAATCCTAATGAAACACTGAAAAAGTTGAAAAAATTTGAGTGACACGTCGGCACTGACTGTGGGAAACAGACACTGGTCTGTTGTCTTTTATTCTGAAAGTCACTGTAAACTGAACTTAAACCTCTTGAAAACATTTAGGAGATAAAAGATTTTTATGTGAAGACAACAACAAAAACATTTATGTGCTGCTGACTGTAAAATATGAACCTCACAGGAGCAGGAGCCACATTAACCTGCTGTCATCCTCTTTTATTATATATTATTATATATTATTATATATTATTATATATCCGCCCTGCGGGAAAAAACAAATAAACCAGGAAACCAGACGCTCCATTGGTCAGAGGTCAGACTGTGACTGACCTGGGCCACTTCCGGGCCGGCGTGGATCAGGTGCCAGACGTAACCGTTCAGCTCGTCTTTCCTCTTATCAGCCGTCGCCTCACCTCGGGACCGACCAATCACAAAACGGCTCGGGAAGCTGGGGGTGGGGCAAAGAGGAGACCGTGTGTTGTTCGCATTATAACAACATGCAACTTATCATGTGTTGACAAGGTCTGTGACCTGATGAGATAAAGTGACGTGTTCGTAAAAACTGAATCATTGGTAACAATGAGAAAATATGTCACAATAATATAAACCTTGTGTGTGTGTGTGTGTGTGTGTGTGTGTGTGTGTGTGTGTGTGTGTGTGTGTACCTGGGCAGTCTGGATGAGGGGAAGATGAGTCTCATTTTACTGTGAAGTTCATGAAACTCTTCAAACGTCCTCTGAACCAGCTGCACTTCCTGCTGACCTTCACGCTCCACCTTCACCACAAAGGCCTGAAACACACACACACACACACACACACACACGCACACACGCACACACACAGAAATATGAAACATGTTCCTGACATCTTTGTTTTGGTTTTCCTGAGTCTTCCAGAGAACTGAACTGTATCATTAAATCTCTTCCTCAGGATTTAATGCAGCTGATTAAACATCACATGGAAACTCTGTTATCTTCTCTGAGAGTGAATGGAATTTAAAAAGACATTAGAGTGTAATAAAATATTTATTTTGGAGTTCCTGTACTGATAAAGACTCAGCTTCGAATTTCTTGGACTAAATTTACAGATATTTTTCCAGTTTTTCTGACACAGCATCGAACGCTACGATAGATCGATCAGTTTTTTTGTTGTAGACGAGTGATAACTTCATCAATTTCCCTTATTTCTTATCACTGACACTGACAATCCTTAATCAACTGTATTTAATTAGTTAAAAACCAGAGATCCATCAAACTGCTGGACTCATCTGTTTGTGCCTCTGTCTTTCTCTGACTTTATTTTTATGCAATAAGGAGAGAGACGCACCTTCCAAACATTCACATTTTTTAATTTCAATCTGCCACCATCTTTAATGTGAGTCAATGAAGGGCTCAGTTCAGTTGCGGCTGGACTCACGTATGCCTTGCTGGGGTTGGTGGTGCGGATGTGTCTGCAGATGTACAGATTCCTGATGAGGCCGTCGCTCTTCACCGTGTGAATCCTGGGAGCGAACGACAGCATGGGACGATCCTCCGACGAGGCGAACTTCATCTGGGCCAGATTGTGGATGAAGAAGTTGAGCTTGGTGGCGACGCTGCCCAGACTGGACTCGATCAACCTGCACAGGCCAGAGAGGGAGGAGGGTTAAAGGACCAATCTGCTGATTTATATCATATTATATTTCTTTATTTCCCTTTTCTTTCTATTGATGTTTAATATATGATTCTATATTTTTTTGTTGTTATTTATGTCCCCTGTTTGTTTTTGTGATGATTTTCCTTTGTTTGTGTAATACAGGGTCCATACACATTTTTCCATGATGTCTCCATGACGTTTCCATGACGTTTCCATGACATTAAAACAGTTTTAATGAACTGAACTTCTCTGCGTATAATGTACCTGGTGAAGTACATGGTGGCGTCGGCCTCAGACTCGTGAGGTCTCAGTGCGTCGTAGACGTACTTCAGATCGTCCAGGTCCGACAGTTCAGGGATCCCACAGGACAACATCTGCACACACACACACACACACACACACACACACACACACACACACACACACACACACACACACACACACACAGAAGCTATAATCATCACATTATCAGTGGATCACATGATTACAGTGTTAAAGGAGATTCTCACGGCTCCTAGTTCAGTTTCAGTGTAGAGCTACAATGATTGGTCCATTAGTCAATCGACAGGAAATTAATTATTTACATGTTTTTCAATATTTTTTCTTCTTGGTTTATGACGTTTGAAAATAGTGTGTGCGTGTGTGCGTGTGTGCGTGTGTGTGTGTGCGTGTGTGTGTGTGTGTGTGTGTGTGTGTGTGTGTGTGTGTGCTGTACCCACCAGGCCCAGCAGGTTGAGGAACAAGTGTGTGTGTTTCCTGATCAGGTTGTAGGCCTCGCAGCACAGATCCACAAAGTCGTGGAAGCGACTGGACGGTTTGTCTCCTCCGTTGATGACGTACGCCATGTCGGAGGTGAAGACGAAGGGGGCGCGGTCCCTGCACGGAGTCACATGACATGTTTAACTAATCCAGACTATCACATAAAAAAGATCCAGCACGGGTACGTCAGTCCGTTCCCTCACCGTTTGATGTTTCCAAACATCTGCGCGTGTCCCAGGAACTTCCCGAAGTCGATGTGGAACATGTGACCGCTGGTCTTCAGCATGATGTTGTCGTTGTGGCGGTCGCAGATGCCCAGGATGTAGGTCGCCACGCAGCAGCCGGCACACGAGTAGATGAAGTTCTCCACCGCCTGGACACAAACAGAGGTTTAGACTAACATACATGGAGTTAGTTTGATTTTATAACCAGTCATCACATGCAGAGGTCAGAGGTCACAGGTCAGGTGGGTCAGAGGTCAGTTCGGTCATGATATCAGGGCTGAAACTAACGATTATTATTATTGATTAACTTGAAGATTATTTTCACATCACCTTTTGTTTCAGTTTACTGTCTGACTGGGTCTGTACAGGTGTGTGTCCAGGTGTGTGTCCAGGTGTGTGTCCAGGTGTGTGTGTTACCTTGTCATACTGCTCGTCAGTGGGGTTGTGTTTCAGCAGCCAGTCGGCCAGTGGACGGTCTTTGAAGGATCCAGTGACTCCGTGTTCCCCCTGGATCTTCCTCAGAGTGTCAGCTTGAGGAATCATCTCGACCATACCTGAGAACAGGGAACAACACACCTGTCAATCACACCTGTCAATGACACCCAAGAACAGGTGAAACACAGGTAAAAAATTTTCTTGGTAAACACCTGTCCTCCTGCTGTATACACCTGTCCTCCTGTTGTATACACCTGTCCTCCTCTAGTATACATGTGTCCTCCTGTTGTATACACCTGTCCTCCTGTCCTCCTATAGTATACACCTGTCCTCCTGTCCTCCTGCTGTATACACCTGTCCTGCTGTTGTATACACCTGTCCTCCTGTCGTATACACCTGTCCTCTTGTTGTAAACACCTGTCCTCCTGTAGTTTACACCTGTCCTCCTGTAGTTTACACTTGTCCTCCTATAGTATGCACCTTTCCTCCTTAAGTATACACCTGTCCTCCTGTCCTCCTATAGTATACACTTGTCCTCCTATAGTATACACCTGTCCTCCTGCTGTATACACCTGTCCTCCTGTAGTTTACACCTGGAGTGACCTCACCTCGCCCTCTGCCGGTGGAGAAGCATTTGAAGATGACCATCCTCATGTCCAGACCCTCCTGGATCCAGATCTTGTTCATGATGCGGATCATCTGCAGAGTCAGCATGTCCTGCCGCAGGTCGTCTCCTGACTGCACAGAGACACACACACAGTCTAAATATGGCCGGTCCGGGTGGGAGGGAGACCTGATCACCTTTGTCTTCAGATTCAGGTAAAAAAAAAAAAAAATCAGATGTTACCTTGAAGATGACGTTGATGTGGTCTCCCAGAGGGTCCAGGTTTTGGAAGGACAGTTTGAGAGGGACAGCGTTGGAGTTGAAGAAGGAACATGACTGTGAAAGACAGAAGAGTGTGAGACCTCAGCTCTGAGTTCACAGGAATTTAACTCTTATTGTCTCAGTGTCGACTGAAAGACGGAGGAACGTCAGATATCAGAGTAGGTTCAGTTCTCTCTCTCACCACTCACTTGAGAGCTGCCCACTACTTATCCTAATCCTAATCCTAACAGGCCACTCCTGCTCCCACTGTCAGTAAATGTTCAGGTGTCGTTTTACCAAAGCATCTTATCTCTCTTACTGAAAGTCCCAGGAGGCTCCACAGGTTTCTCACCAAGAGTTTCCTCTGATTCTGTAACAAACCTGGGAGCAATTATCTCTTCAGTCTGAATCTGATCTGAGGTCAGTTTGTCATGCCCTCCCTCTCCAACCTGAACAGAAAACTATTTACATTTTCAGAGATTCTCGATTTGATGCAGGGGGGAGGAAGAAATGATGAAAAGCATCAGAAACACGTCAGTATTCAAAGCAATGTCTTGAACATGTCTGGAGTGGATTCCTTAACTTTGGACTTGGCCTGACTGGATCCTTGTCATCTCAATATGTATGAGCCTGATTCCCTGCAGCAGCTGACTGACTGTGAGCAGGTCTCCGACTGAGAAGCTGCTTTAAGAGCTGAAAGACTCTGTGAATCACTTTCAGACCAGAACCTGACCGGTCCCAAAGTCAGGACCGACACAAACATCGGTTTCTTTGACATCAGACAGCTACGAGCTCCTTCAGATGTCTCAGGAATACGATTCCTGATCTCCTTCCTGCTCTAAAGAGGACGGACCCTTTAATGACCCTATGAACTTTCCTGTAGCGCCACCCACAGGATGAATGGACAGACAGATGGACACTGTTCGTCTCTTGTCTCGTCCTGTACCTGGATGTTGATTCCTGTGACCAGCAGCGCCGGGTTGAGAGGAAGTCTACAGCTGCTGTTCATGGAGAAGAACTGCTTCATCTCCTCCAGACCCTCTCTGAGGATGGACTGTAACACACAAACACAAACCAGATTCACGTCTCTCACGTCCGTGACGCTCACAGAAAGGTCAAACTTTCCAGGCTAAGTAACTCTTGATGTCATTATCCGGGTGTGTCCGTGTCCTCCCCACCTGTCTGCTGGACGGCGTGGCATCTCGCACTTTGTGAGCCACCTTGGCGAGGATGGAGACGAGCCAGCACTGACGGTCGAACTCGTCCCGGAGACCTCGGCCGACGCAGCAGAGCAGAGCGGCCAGAAGGTGCTGATACCGAGCGCTGAACTGACTGTCCTGCAGGTTGTCCTTCAGCAGCCTGAGAGACGGAGACAGACACAACCAGGGCTCAACTTAACTAAACCAGACTAACCCAGATCCTGGATCCAGAACCTTCCCTGCAGGTTGTCCCTCTGAGACAGAGACAGAGACAATCAGTCTGTGTCCGCTAATTCTGCATAACGAGTTAACCTCTTATGAAACAGATGGATTAGCATTAACTGGTAGCATGTTAATAAACAGCACAATGAGCTTTAAGCAATTTAAAATGCTCAGTTTGATAATCCCACCAGATGTTGTTGTTTATCTAGGAGAAAGAAAACAAAAGAGGTCTGGAAGCAGGACAGAGGTCCAGACCTGATCTGATAACTCTGTGTGATCAATAAATCAGACTGTAGCTGACCAGAAGAGGTAGTGAGCGATGCGAACGTCCCCGATGGCTCTCCGTAGGAGGAAGCGAACCAGAGAGCTGTCCAGATAACACTCGTACTTCAGAGCCTGAGACACAGAGACAGAGACAGGATCAGTTCTGAAACAGAGACACTACGAGTCCAGTCAGTTTCTATCTGAGAAGCCAAAACCACAAAGTTCAATTATATTTTATATGTATTGCAGGTGTTTAATCATTGGCTAACAGCTGTGTCCAGTGGTGTTACTGTGGAGTTTACACTCAGTGTAATGTTTATTTCCACAGTTCACCACAGTCACATCACACCTGCGCTACAAACAACTCATTAACTGATGAACTGACTCTAATTAGCTGTTTTTTTCAGTTGACGCTAAGATGATGTTACTGTATGTGACTCTCTACACTTCCTGAACAGATGTTTCACACTAAAAGCCTCTCTGGAAATTGAAGGGATTTGAAGCACTGGAAAGCCCTTAATGTGAAACACCTAAAGGGAAGTGTTGAGTTTCACTGTCTGCAGCTAAACAGTTATTTTCAAAATGAGCTGATACTGACGTATGAAGGCAGCACTGTCCACATACTTTTGGACATGGAGGTAAATCTTAGTAAAGAGGTAAGTAGACTGGAATATGTGTTAAATTGTGGGAAAGAATGGACAGAACTAAGATTAAATACAAACAACAGAGCTCGTCAGGTTACAAGTCATTCCTGCACTTCCAGCTCTGACCCACAGGGAGGCGCTACAGACACATAATAGCCACCAGAAATGTGCACAGCAGGTCGTTCCTGCCAAATACAATAAGATTAGTGAACACACGCAAACTGTGCCTCAGTCACAAATAACAGTCAGGAAGAACAAGAACAGGTTGGATGAAATGACACATAATGTCAGGAAAAGAAGGGAACATGTTTCTTGAGCCACTGAAAGGCTTTTAATGTGAAATACCTGTGCAGGAAGTGTTGATTTTAAAAAATAGCAAAGAGCAAGTTCATCAGAAAATGTTAATGACAGAAAGTGTTTTCCACGGCAAGACTCTGTTACTGGACGTACACAACAGGAAGGTCTGAGTTTTTATCAACAGCAAATTTAAACAGGAGCAGCTCGGGAAACAGGGAGGCACGTAAACACCTGTCTGCCCTTCACCTGTGTCATTTAACAGCAGTATTCAGATACAACAGGAAGCAGAAAAATGGAACTTATTATTACTTCAACCTGATGAGTGCTGCCCCCAAAGACGACGACATCAAACATCACACCTGCTGCAGGTGTTCACACACCCTGTCATCACGTTACCTGGACCAGCTGAGGCAGGAAGTCCAGCAGCTCTGGGTCTGAAATGGAGTCCATCCACTGGACAGCCGTCCTTCTCAGCTCCTGGTCCGGGAACCTGCAACACACATGATGACGTCACTAAGGCGCTCAGACCTTCAGATGAGCAGGTGAGTCTCGGTGAGCAGGGACGTACGAGGCGTGGAGGAGTCCCAGGGCGTCCAGGTGGCCCAGGCATGCCCACTGTCTCAGCAGGGCGTAGATGTCGGGCAGACAGGCCCACTCCCAGCAGGGGGCGCTGGCCAGAACCAGAGGCAGCGCTGCACTCTCAGCCTGACAGAAGGCCTTCTTCTCCCACAGCAGGCGCTCATCCTCCGTCGTCAACCTGCACGGATACAACACACACAGTTTACACAGGATTTCAGTGGGTTTTTATTAAACATGAAAATTCTTCTGATAATGTAAGATGCCTCCTAAATATTATGTGGTTCGTGTGGGACTCCTAACAGCAGCTATCTCACTCAACGAGGGGAAAATGTTTGATAGGACAGAATGGAGATACATGTTTCACACGCCCAGAGCTTTTGGGTTTGGCCAAACATTTATGAGACCCAGAGAGACCCGTAGCGCTCTCACTGCAGGTCTGGAAACCTGCTAACTGCTGCAGCAGAGACCTCACAGGAGGTAAATCTATGCAGCTCCTGTTTCTGTTGGCTCACACACTTGGACCCGATCTCTGATCCCGGATCAGATCCTCAGACTGTTTCTGATTTCTGGATGAAGACACCAAAATGTTCTGCAGGTTGAAAACATTTTAAATCCCAGAAGTGAACCAGAGGGAAAAACCATCTGGACTGTGTGTAACCTCACGCCACAGGTTTGATTAGTGTGAGCGAAGAGTCAGAAACGACACTGGCTGCTGCTTTTACAAACTGAGATGTTTCACTACTAAACACTTTTTAAGATGCGACTGAAAATGGTTTGAGTTGCAGTTTTTTGAACTGAGTTGTATGATGAGATCTGTCCACTGGTGCTGTACGGAAGATTGGATGAGCCATGATTTATATGAGTAAAACAGACAATTTAATAGAGAAATGTATTAATTAAATAAAATGTGATGACAAATAATAATAAACACATATCAAATGAAAAATATCTCTCCTTATATTAAATTAATTAGTTGGCAATTTAAGAAATGAATAAGCAATCAAATATAAAGCGAAATAAATCAGTATCCACTGAAAAAGCCTGCCTTCAATTACATACTCAGAATATATTAAAATATATAGAGATGTATTTATTTTTTTGGACACCTAATAACTTAATTCTGGGAGAAGTATTTATGTTTTTCTTATTAATATATCATAGTTTATTTACATATCGTATCTATCTAATTGTGTGTTTCATTAATTATGACTACTTTAGTTTTTTGAGACTTTTCTCTACTTTTTATTAGTATTTTTATTTAGTATTTATTCCATTAAAACATGTTACTGTTACTGCAGCTGTGGATAATCCTAAAAATAGATGCAGTCACATCTGCTTATTTTATTTATCAACAGTGTCTTCATCCATTTCTCATGTTTATCAACAAAACTATCAGTATTAATAAAGTGTATTTGTGTGTGTGTGTGTGTCCGTGTGCATTTCTCTGACCAGAAGAAGGCCTTCTTGTGCAGGACGTCCTGCAGCTGGATTTGACTGATGGTGTCCAGTCTGGAGAAGTCGTACTGAGGACAGAAGTCTGCTGGAGGAGGGGTACTGAAGCGAACCTCGAACGACGAGGTGGGAAAGTCCACCTGAGATATAACGAGACAGAGAGAGAGAGAGAAACCAGTGAGAGGGAGGACGCTGAGACACGTTGGCTTGTGAAACTTTAATAATGAAGTCGTGTTTCCAGGCGTCAGTTTTTATTTTAATTCAAACTTTCATTCAAACGTGGGGAAAATATTAAATATCTGAACGACCTGTTTGATTTAGACTTCACCCTCTATAATCTCAACAGTGTTTGAAGTAGTTCACCTTGAGCTCCAGCAGAGGGCGCCCCGGAAATCCACTACCAGCTGAAATGGTGGCATGGCCCTTTAAAACTGTGAGCAAGTGGAGCTCCAAACAGAATCTGAACAAGCTGTTCCAGTCCTGTACTGTGTGTGTGTGTGTGTGTGTGTGTGTGTGTGTGTGTGTGTGTGTGTGTGTGTGAGAGAGAATCAGTCGACTGCACTGAAACAAAGAGCCACAGATCTGAGTGTGTTACACTGACCTACACACAACTTCACTGAGTGTGTGTTTGAGTCAAAGCTCAACAGCTGAACTGAACCATGAATCAGTGTTTACAGTGTTTTCAGGGGGGGTTGGGTGTGTGTGTGTATATGTGTGTGTGGAGGGGTGCTGTGTAAGGTACAGGTGAGACAGTGAAATACAATCCAGGACGTCCAGTCTGAGAAACTCATATGTGATTGGCCAACACAGCACCTTACAGCCCTCCCACTTTGTTACCCCCGCTGTGCCGGCACACTGGCTCCATCCGGGGGTAAAAATGGGCCTGAGAGCAGCCTTGGCTCCCAGCACTGATTTCTGAGTCTTTAATGTTTGTCTCTGAGTCAGATTAGGAGATTATACAGTTTGTGCTGTGATTGGACCAATCAGAGGGAGGAGACTACTCCAGGAACAAAGGTTGGCTACTGAAGAGGTTTTGAGTGACGTTTCCCTTTAACTGGCCCTTTAAATGATTAGTGTGTGTGTGTGTGTGTGTGTGTGTGTGTGTGTGTCACCTGCAGTATGACACTGTCTGGTTGGCTGAAGTTGGGTGAACTCGTCCGGGCGTTTCCACTCCTCCCTGGGGTCGAAGGCCACAGACCCAGTAACTTCCTCCCACATGTCAGGACGCTGCAAACACACACACACAAGCAGGGGGTGGGGGTGGGGTCAGTCAGCACACATATTGAACACACACAGGTGGGGGGGTGGGGGGGGGTGCAGTCAGCAGACACAATGAACACACTCCCATCAGCATCAGTCCACACTTCCTGCTGCTGTGAAGGAAATGATATCACAAAGGCTCAACTGGGACTTGATGGAGGGAGGATGTGTGTGTGTGTGTGTGTGTGTGTGTGTGTGTGTGTGTGTGTGTGTGTGTGTGATGAAGTGGGTGGCTATCTTAGCTTAGCATAAAGACTGGACACAGGAGGAAACAGCTAGCCTGACTCCGTCCAAGGGAAACAACATCCATAGGCCACATGTGGGTCGGACTATTTGTTAGCCGGGAGCAGTGACTTCCTGGTTGGGAGCATCATGTGACTCACTGTCTGAAGTTGAAGAGCGGCATGGTGACCCAGCCCAGAGCCTCGATGCTGCGACGCTGCTTCCCCTTGTCCTCAGCTCCTCCGGGGGGGGGCAGAGAGCTGGCAAACAGAGTCACAGTCAGCTGAGACTCTCTGGGCAGCTGGTTGATCTGCACCGGGAAACACACCCTGTGGAGGGATATTTAAAGTTGTGGTGAAAATCCAAACATTATCTCATAGACATCACATACATCAGGTATGGGAGTGTCCACATACTTTTGGCCATGTAGTGCAGCTGTACCTGTGTTACTGTGTGTTAGTTTTCCCGGTTCTTTTTATTAAACTATAATAAATTATTTTTTTATTGTGAATGAACAGGTTTTTTTTTCAGCTCAGAACTGATTAGTGTTTATCCTGTTTGGACCTGACTGCAGGTGAGAGCTACAGGTGTGTGCAGGTGAGGCTGTGATGTCATCACTCAGCCAGGTTGTGTTGTCTTGGGTTACGATTTTTTATCTATTGGATGCAATTCTGTGTCCACATACTTTTGGCCATGAAAGTGTGCATGAAATTAGCTTTACTGAATGTTAGCGCTCTGGTCTCAGGTGAGAGTTAAGTGGGACTCAGGTGAGACTCAGGTGAGCGTTAAGTGAGACTCAGGTGGATTACGTACCTCTGGTCCCACACCACCAGGTGGAACAGGTATTTGCTGACCGACTGCTTGCTGGTGTGCTGCGGGGCGCAGAGCTCCTCCCCTCCATGAGTCAGAGAGCAGGACAGGAAGAAACCCTCGTAACTGACCAATCAGAGAGCAGGACAGGGACATGATGTCATAAATGAGGTCAGAGATTTATTTTTAAAAAATCAAAGTAACAACAAAACCTGATCAGCTGCTGTTTTTCTTCACTCTGCAGCGGTCGCACCTGACCGACAGGTGTGTTTCTGCTGACCTCACAGACTCCTGCTCATTTTCCATCCAAACATAGTTTTAACATGTTTTGCATAAAATTCAAACGCAGTGTGAAGCTGAACAGACGTCCTGCAGTTTGTACACGACAATAAAACTATTTATTCTTCTACTGCAGCACATTCATCCGACAGCTGCAGTGACTTTGGAGACGGAGATTTTACTTAAAAAACACACAAGTTTATAAAATATGATGAATATTAAAGTTTAAACTGGTGGTTAAATATCTGTGACCTCTGACAGGAAGGTCAGTGTGTCATTGGGACCTTCTGTCATGAAAAAAAAAGAAAAATGCTCATTACAGTTTCTCAAAGTGTGACTCAGCAGATTTTCACACAGAGAAGCTGGAACAAGTGAAGTCTTGGCATCTTTCTTCAAAATAACTTCAAAGAACTGATTGTTAAAATATACGCAGGTTCATTTCCTGTCGATCAACTAATGGATTAATCAACTACTCGTTTCAGCTCTAGTTGTTTTCATTTCCATCACAGAGACATTTCTCCTCTAAACTTCTCACATGGTTTCATTTAAGTCCAGAAAGCAGCAAAGATCAGAGAAAAGTCTAAAAGCTGAATCCAGATCAGTGAATCAGAGGTTTGGTTTTTCTTCTTTCCTCTGCCGTGAATCATGTGACGACCCCTCAGATTTATCTGGTGACCCTTTGGAGGGACTGAACTATCTATGATATATAAAGGATCTGAGTACTCTCCTCAAATCTTTGCAGGTCGGTCAGCTGCAACTTTCATTATCGATTATTCAGCTGATTCTGCTTTCAATTAATCCATTAAGCTACAAAATATTAAAAACAGTAAAACCTTCACTTTCTGTTTTCTCTTCCCTTCATTTTAGTCTGTCAGAGTTTGTTGAGCTGCTGCTGTGGCTACAAAGAAAAAGAAACCAGCAGTTAAAGCTTGTGTTGCTGATGAATATTGAACTCAAAATAAACTGTGGATAAAATCCTCTTTAGTGTTGTTTAATAGTAAAATGATCTGCCCTTTATTACAATGAAAAACTGCACACAGGAAAAGTGTTATCCTCCAAGGCTGAACTCATTTCTAACTCCCGTCTTCATACAGTCTCTGTGACTCTGAGCTCAGTGTAAAAAGGAGTGAAGGATGTGAAGAGACAGAAGCTGCAGAGGAAACTGGAAACATCTGAGTGAGTCAAATGAAAAGTATTTTAAACTGGCAGAGTTTAGTTTCACAGTCCATCAGAGGCTCTTTAATCTGGGTGTTGAGTCCAGAAACAGTTAAAGAGCCAACGAACGCGCTGAGGAGGAGCAGCTCCTCCTCCTGTCGGGATCCAGCTGTTACAGTCAGACCAGGCGGCCTCCAGGAGGCGCTACAGCCATTTCTGAGATCTGAATATGTCTTCAGGGGCTTCAGGGAAATTTCAGTATTTTCTGAAATGTTGTATTTTCTGTTGGCGAATGTTGTGAGGGCGACGTGAAACCTGAAGGCAACGCGGCGCCTCTCATCTGAAACAAAAACCTACGTCCTCGTCTGCAAAACAGCTCTCACGACGAGCTGCACCAGGAAGTGCGGAGGCAGTGAGCAGAGTGCGGCCTGCGAGGCGAGACCCAGGGTAAAAACCACTGCAGTCAAATGTTCTGACTGCGGTGACACAGATGAGTCAGTCAACGTGTTTGATTTAGCAACTGCACAGTCAGAGCACACCTTACTGAGATTACAACTTTAATCTGAAACTATAAAAGTGAGGGGGGCGGGGTTACACTCCACGTCAACTGTATTTACTGCATTTTCAGTCACAGTGAGAGGTAAACTGTACTGATGTAGCTGGTCAAGAGAAAGTCAGTTCTATTTTTCTATTTTGATAATCACATCATTTTATAAGAAATTGCCAAACATCCTGTTTCAGCTTCTCCAGTGTGAGAGGTCCGTGTCGTAGAGCGATTATCAATAGATTAACAGAGAAACGAACGTGCAGATCAATCAGTGGTGACAGTGACTGTTACTCTCTCCGCCGGGCTCTCTCACTTGACGCCATGTCTCCGTCATCAGCGTTAGATTCATCAGCTGCAGAGTCAGTTCACAGCTGCTGTGACAGAACATTTTAATCTGTTTCCACACAAATCACCTCAGATTCTGTCTGTGTTTCTGAAATGATCCAATTTCCCTCTCTCTCTCTCTCTCACACACACACACACACACACACACACACAGATGGTGTGTGCTGCTGACAGCCAGGTGTCAGGCGAAGCGGCCAGTCCTGCCTTCTCTCAGAGGTCAAAGGTCAGGTCTGGTTCCCAGGCAGTCAGCCCTTTGTCAGAGTAAAACCCTACGTGTGTGTGTGTGTGTGTGTGTGTGTGTGTGTGTATGTGTGTGTGTGTGTGTGTGTGTGTGTGTGTGTGGGGGAGGGGCAGCAGCAAGCAGCTCTCAGTTTGAGCTGCTTTTGTTACAGGATCACACAGACTCTCTGTGCTGGTCTGAGAACAGCTGAGTCATCAGTCCGTTTGTTCACACTGAGGCTGTAATGGCCTCTGCGGCCTGTAGAGGGCGCTGGCAGGACCGTCCATACACAAGCTGTGTAACACGTCTGTCCACATGTGTTTAAAGTGATGCTCTGATGTTGTTACAGCAGATTCACTGAGACAAACACAGAGTCCGACCTCGTCAGATCTCTGAGGTCACGTAGAAAAAGTAAAAGTGACAGAGTACAAGAGACGGAGAGGCGAACCTTTAGATACAGGTGTATGTGCCGACACCTGGCCGCGTGTGTTTGTGTGGTTGTACCTGGCGGCCCAGGTGATGGGGATCCTGTGGGCGGCGTACACGTTGAAGGACAGCACGTTGGTGACGAGGCCGGCCTCCTGCACCGGCGCCGTGCAGCAGTGACTCTGCGGTGTCGTGTGGAAGTTGGCGTTAAACGTGCTGCAGTAAAGCTCCACCAGATCCAAGATGGCTGCCGTCAACTTCTCCACCACTTTCTCTGTGAAACAAGATCGTCTCTGTGAATGTTTCCATGACTTTCTAGATATTTTCATGACCAAACATTTTGTGATTGTTGTGTGTGCAGGTCTAAGTTTTAGTGGTGATCAGTAGAATCATATTCTAATTAAAAAATCACGTTTTTATTTTATGAACCTCTGATGTTCAAACTGATTCAGAGAAGAAGACAGAGGAAATTTTATTTTTATTTATTTTATTTCAGAGAGATGTTGTGTTTGCTGCTGGTACATACCTCTGTTCTCTCTGACAGCCAGCACTGAAGCATCCTGGGAGGACGACAGAGAAAAGATGACGAGAGTGAACAAACTGAGACAGTCACCAACTCGTCTGCCTGACGGACACACGACTGTCGGCGTCTCTCACCTTCAGGACTTTGGGCTGCAGGCGACAGGGGCATGCTGGGAGCTGGTTGAGGGCAGAGGTCACATCGGGCGTTTCCACGGCAGCTAACGAACTGCAGAGCGCCTTCACCGATTGGACGAGACGCTCAACGTGCAGCGGCAGCTCCACCTTCAAGAAGAAGAAGAAGAAATGTGGTTTGATTTAAAGTGAGGACATTTTTGGAAAACGAGGACAAAGTGGGGACATGTTGAAGAGTGAGAACATCAACTGGTCAAAGGAGTTTAGACAAACTGGGACCTGATGGAGGGAGGATGTGTGTGTGTGTGTGTGTGTGTGTGTGTGTGTGTGTGTGTGTGTGTTACCTCCGACAGCAGGAAGCACTCTGCTTCATTATGAAAAGTGTCCAACAGCAGAGTCAGAGCCTCCCTGAAAAACATGGAAATAATAAACATGACACGACACTAAAATAAAACAGCACATCATGCGCAGCATCAGCTTTCCCAGTTCAACCTCTCTATTAAGCTACAGGCCCCGCCCCTCACCTGGTGACAGTCTGTTTGATTGGGCGCTCCTGCAGCAGGATGCTGTGGTTCATGGTGGACGCCGTCTCATCGTCTTCTTTCTGTCAGAAGATTTTTAAAAATGCCACATTTACAAATCTGCACTTCTGTCTTCGACTGGTTTTCACTGTATTGAGAAACTTTCTGTTCTGCACCAGACTCCTGTTTAAAAATCAACAACTCTCACTTCTAATGATCAAAACCAGATTATTGAACCGGCTCTGCTGTTGGCTGGTCTTCGGTGCCAGGTCATGTCATCAGCTACAGAGGACAGATGCTGACATCATCTGGTACCAAAGACGAGCCAACAGCAGAAAGGCCTCCTCAGTTCCCGCTTTTCACCTGCAGGTGTCAGACTTAACATACCTCAGACTGAGGAAACAAGAACTTGTCAAAATGCTGTTTTGTTTGTTCTATGGGACTTTGACACCAGAGAACACTTTCGCTTCCCTTCTTCCAAAAACAGACTGCGATATTTTCTTTTAACCTGAACCCACCATCTTTCTCGTTAACACAAGAGCCTGACAAACCTTTACCACAGAGCTGGAGACCAGGAAACATGACTGAAAGACAAACATATCTGATCCTTCAGTGTGCAGAACTTGTGTGTTGTGTTTGAACTAATGAGACCTGATAACAACACTGATGGGATGTGTGTATGTACGTCTGCGCACGGTGTATATTCAGGCTTCCTGTTTGTCTTAAACCATGTTTCTGTTTGTGTGTTAATGGGAAACTGTGTAGGTTTAGAGCTGAGGCATGTTCATCATAACTGATGTTCGCCCCCTCGAACGAACTCCACATCCACAGGGAGACTGTGATTGGTCAGTTTGGCGGTGACGAACCTACAGAGGATCTACAGCTGAATCTGCAGCTCCACTCGACTTTACAGAGCTTTATAAAGAGTTTCAGCTCATTGTTTATCCGTCCGAACAACAACTTTACTGTTCTGGTCAGCAGATGTTTTCAGAGAAACAGCTGTAAAAAGCCACTGTCCACTACCTGCTCAGCAGCAAACAGCAGACACATGCGGTTAGAGAGCAGCTGCTGAACATAGTGGAGCATTTAGCAGAGCCAGATATTTCCCTCAGGAGCTGATGGAGACCAAAAACAGAGCTAAAAGGGAATAGAGGGAATGTGGACACAAACACCACTCCACATGAATCATCTCGCTGCTCTATAACTACCGAGTATGGAAATAAGAAACTGTTTGACAACAAGTTCAACATATCACCTTAAAAGTGCAGTGTTCACTACTTGTCTCGGCTGAAAACAAAAACATCAGCTGTAGATTTACTGTATTATTGTTGAATTGTGCACATCCTCGGACTGTGCACAATTCAACAATAATACACTAAATCTAGGATGCTAAGGTGTGTGTGTGTGTGTGTGTGTGTGTGTGTGTGTGTGTGTGTGTGTGTGTGCAGACCGTGCGGGACAGCTCTGTTTTGATGTCTGATCTCTTGGTGAGAAAAAGTCGGACGTCCCAGTCGAACTTCAGACACTGCTGAACAAACTCCAAACCAGCCAGAGTCTGAGAGCTGAAAGAGACAGAGACAGAGACAGAGACAGAGGCAGAGACAGAGGCAGAGACAGAGACAGAGGCAGAGAAAGAGACAGAGGCAGAGACAGAGACAGAGACAGAGGCAGAGGCAGAGAAAGAGACAGAGACAGAGACAGAGACAGAGGCAGAGACAGAGGCAGAGGCAGAGGCAGAGGCAGAGACAGAGACAGAGGCAGAGGCAGAGACAGAGACAGAGACAGAGGCAGAGACAGAGACAGAGGCAGAGACAGAGACAGAGACAGAGGCAGAGGCAGAGAAAGAGACAGAGACAGAGACAGAGACAGAGACAGAGAAAGAGACAGAGACAGAGACAGAGGCAGAGAAAGAGACAGAGGCAGAGACAGAGGCAGAGACAGAGACAGAGGCAGAGGCAGAGGCAGAGACAGAGACAGAGACAGAGACAGAGGCAGAGAAAGAGACAGAGACAGAGAGAGTTGGAGTCAATATTCTGATTATTGTATACAACAAGCAACACTAATGTCCTCTGCTCTGCAGATTCACAGCTCTGTGGTGTGTGAAAACACCTCCAGTAAAAGTTTCAAACAATCTCTGAAGCTCCTTCTGAAAAAAGCAGAACTGAACAACTGATAGAAGTTACAAGTCAGAAAACAAGGAGGTTTCATAAACACGTGTTTATGAGCAGGTCTCAACAAGTCTTCTCTCTGGTTTCTAAGGGGAGGTTTATTCTGGATGGACATCAGAGACGATGACATCCTGGTGGAAGTCACACTGAATCATATCAAAATGCGTTTCATGCCTGTGTGTTCACATCTGATTCAGTTAGGACTATGAGGAGGAGGATTTTTGTTTTTGTCCTCCGGGGGCCGCTGTAGTTGACAGACAAAGACAAAGTGTTGGACAGACAGACATCAGCAGCGCAAACAGAGCCGCTCGCTGCTGTAAGAATCAGATAATAAACAGTTTTCACAGTTATTGTTTCAGTGCAGGAAGTTCAGTCGTCCTCTCACAGCTACAGGTTATCAGACTGAAACACACTTCCACAGGACACACACACGCACGCACACACACACACACACACACACACACACACAATCTACAGTACAGCAGCTCTTCTCTGGGGATTCATTTATTAATATCAGACGTGGGTAGAGCTGCAGCTGGTGTGTGTAGATCTGTGCTCGATCTTTGTGAGGACGTGCTGTCTGATGCTCTCACCTTCACATGACTGCTTCACGGTTCAGACTCGGTTTTAAGTTTCGCATTAGAATCAGGTTTAGGTTTTGGCGTTAGAGGTTTGGGAATCCATAATGTCACTGAGGGTCCTCACAAGTGGAGAAAGACAAATATGTGTGTGGGGGTTGTATGAACCGTAGTGCTGCTGGTTTAGCAGCAGCCACAGCTCAGCTGCACTCTGTTATTATGAGCCTGCACCACAGACCACAGATCAGTGTTACTGTTGTTTTACTACTCTGGTGTTTTCCGCCTTGACCAGCTGATGGGTGGGACACGTCCTCCTCACTTCTACAGTTTCCCTCCGATTTACTCACTTAAATGTCTCTAAATACAATCTCCTGACTGTCAGGTAATAAAAATTATAATGAGCATCTGAGTCTCCACTCAACTCTCTGACAGGCAGAAGAACCTGCAGCCTGCAGGCAAGAATCAGAGCTGAGAAAATTACTGCCAACTCATCTGCACGTTTCAGGTAGAAAAAAAACACATTTAATCTATATTTTCAGTCTCCTAAAAAGATTATTCATTTTAAAAATCAATCAAATAAATATTAGATGACACTGTACAGTGTTGTTTTTAAGAGAAGAAACACAACAATATTATATCATGTACAAAATCTATTTGTATGCAATATTTATCAAACATGCAAGATGAAGTCTCCATCATAAACAATTAAAAGTGATTTTAAACCAGGTTATTAATCTAATCTAAAATAAAATAAAATAAAATAAAATAAAATAAAATAAAATAAAATAAAATAACATAATTTATATTTTCTTTCTGACTTTTGTGCAGATTGTCCAAAATATAAAAGTTTGTTTGTCTGTTTTTTGTTTTTGTTTTTTGCATTTGACATTAAAGGAAACTGCAGGACGCCCCAAAAAGTTAAAAGGTTGATCTGATCTGACTCCTGTTGCATTCTTAGATGGTTTTTTGTCTGTACAGGTGTCTCCACGTGGACAGAGGAGAGTGTCGGCGGTGAAAGAATATAAGAGCTATGTGGATGAGACGTTGAAAGTCTAATTTGATAAAAGTTTATATTAATGAATTTTGTCACTCCTGTTATTATTATTATTGTTGTCTTACTTTTATTTAGCCGACGATCATGCAGTTTTTGAACTGCAGCGCCCATAATGCTTTGGAGGAAGTTCACCACTCTTTAGACATTTAGTTTAGTTTTACTCGACTTTTATTGGATAAAAAAATGCTCAAATTTTAGGGGAACAAACTCAAAAAACGTAATTAATTCTTCAATTTTAAAAGTTTACCACATTGTAAGTGTGGCATAGTGGCATAGTGTCGTGACGAGTGTCCAGCAGCAGCTCCACAGGAACAACTGACAGTGCAGTTTGGTTATTAAACTAATAGGTTGTGAAACTGGCTTCTTGAAATGAAGAAAATGTGCCATTCAAGCAAGAAAAATAAAAAGAGACAACCCACAGATACATACGGGGGGGGGTTTCCATCTGAGCCGCAGACAGAGCTGAGTTTTACTCTGAGTCACAGACATGATGAGAGGCGACAACAACAACTGACTGACAAAACATGTCATCCATACCTATCAATCAAGTGATGAAGGCTCCGTTATATATTTAAATATTTTATCTAACAGTAGGAAGACTAGAAATGAAAACAAAGGAGGAGGAATTGCTAAAAAAAATAATAAAATCTTTAAAGCATTGGACTGAAACACCATATGTTTATGTCTTTGTGTGCAAGACAGCTGCGTGAAAATAATAAAATATCTGCACCATCTGCAAGGCTGTCAGCATTATGGACATTGACTCATACAGATGTGGACTGTGAGAACCAGATGATTCAAACTAAGTGAAGTAGAGAAATCCAGAAATCCAAAAATCCAGTTTCATAACTGGTTTCAGCACAGACAGAAGAATCTGATTAAAACTAAATAACGTCCTCTGTTTGTGTTTTTGGGCCCAGAAATCTACAAACAGCTGCTATCAGCTCTTTTTTAGTTTGTTTAGCTCAGTGATGTGATCGATCGGTTCAGATAATCAGAGTAGATGCCACCTGGAGGTTTGTACGTCCCAGTTTAACACAACTCCTGCAGCTGCGATCTCCTACATTACTGTCTGACTGAAAGTAACCTTCATCTGCATGTTATAATAACTCGATGTAAAATTTCAAAGGACAGAGTTGATCTTCTGAAGCTCCGGGAACGACGACGCTGCTCTGTTCAGACCTGGCTCAGCTCAGGGACTCTGAAGGTTTGAGATTTAAAGGGTCTTACTTGTTGAAGAACTCGTCGTGTCCGCAGACCTTCAGCAGGTAATCGTCCACGTTCAGGTGATCCAGATCGTCCTGAGCGTAACACAGAGTCTGATAGATCAGCAGATCCACCGTGGACGAGCCTGACAGAAACAGACAGAGAGAGTTTATTATCACAGATCGGATGTTGCATTATGACTCTGTTCCTCTAAAATTATGACTTTTTTTCCAAAATTTAATTCAAGAAATACTGACAATGTTCTTGCGAATTCATGATTCTATTCTTATAATAGTTTTATTTTCTCAACATATTTTGACTTTCTGCCCCGTCATTGCTCCAAGGACATACACTTCCACTTATTTAGACTCTTATTTTGACAGTCAGCAGTAGCACTGTGGTGAGTAACTGGAAGTGTAAGTTCAGTTTTGTCTTCAGCCCAATAAAGAACTTTAATATTAGTGAAAACACTGGACTGTGACGCGCCCTCAGTCAGATCCTCCCAGTGTCTTACCATCACAGGTAAAGGTGAGTGGTTCTCTGAAGTGTTCACTGATGACGGTGACCTTTACGCTGACCCCCAGACCCTGATGAAGCTCCTCATGACCGACTGAAGGCGACCAAACGAAGCCGGCGTTCTTCGACTGGTCGCTGGACGGGTACGCCGAACGTAAACTGAGAACACAGAGAGAGAGAGAGAGAGAGAGAGATTTACTGAGACCGATGCAGAGTTACTGTCAGGAGGTGTGTGTGTGTGTGTGTGTGTGTGTGTGTGTGTGTGTGTGCCAGCATGTGACAGAAAGCTGCCACCTCCTCGTCTCTCTCCTCTGACACCTGGAACAGTTCATATCCAAATCCATTCATCCTGGAGCGCAGAGACACCTGTCAATCACACACACAGAGCCGACCAATCAGAAGACAGTGACAGTTGCTTTCAGCAGATCCAGTATAAGTACAGAATGCAGGTTTTTATTGAAGTGCTGATGTTTGCTTATTTTAAAATGAAATAGAGACAAAAAAAGGTGCACATCCTTATTATTATTTGGACAGTACAAAAATACAAGTGTGTGTTGGCGACAAAGATCTGTGAAACCGTCGCCATGTTTACACGTGTGTGAGTTTTCCGCAGGTTCACCGGAGCAGAAACAGGTAGACAAACATGGACGCTGCTTTAATTTGATGTTTCACCTGCGAGAGGAAATTTTTTTATCCGTGTCATGTCACTGTTTAGGACCGACAGACACAGACAATGTCAGTGAGGAAACGTGAGGCAGCAGGAGGAGGCAGATGAGCTCTGAGCAGCTTATCACTGAAGCACAGGAATTATGAAAACAATACATCAGTGTAGCTGTAAGCTTTTCTGCCAGAGAAACACTTTAATATGAGTAAACTAGATGTTTTGTAGCTGTATTTGAATATGAAAAACCCTTTTTTTGCTTCTAACTTTCTCTGTCAGTGCAGCCGATCTCATCACTAACCTGGAGCGATGCAGATTTTGTCATGAAATAATGAATTTATCTGCAGCTCAGCACTTTGGGACTGTCTGCTGCTCTTCATTATATTTATAAAGACAGAGCAGGAGGACACGGAAACCAGCTACATCCCTCCATCACAGTTCCTCTCTCCCTCTGACTACAAACATGAATAACTAGACTTGCTGTTACATATGAAGACAAAATCAAAAACAAATGAAATGCATCATCAAAAATTTGTTTTAACTCAATTACCAAAAGAGATGATTTATAAATTCGCAGTGAAATTCAGAGGCTTCAGAGACGCGAGCTGCTCCGCCAAACATAGACCCAGAGTGCAAAGATAACAGATGAGGAAAAACAGCCTCAAGTGTGACAGATGCTGCTGGATCATCTCCACGATGCCACGCAGCCACTTCCTGTTTACACTGGCCATAAACGAGAATATATTCATACGTGTTGTTACGTTCATCCCGGAGGTTGAATGTCGCTCCACAGCAGAACAGTTTTGTTGGACACTGTCGTTTCTGTGACGTGCATTTACTTGATTTCGTGAACGTATGCATTAGGATTGGGGCAGTATCACAATAATAATAGTAAAAAAGCGTTTTCAAAGCTGTGTGACATTGAGTCTCCTGCCTGTCGACCAGTGTTGTGGGTGCCGTTAATCTCACCATCATGGTTTTAGATTATAGCTGGTTAAACCGGTCTGACTGCTGCTGACACAGGGCTAATCACTGTCAAACTGTGGACGTGATAAGTTTCAACAACCAACCGTGAAATGTGAGGAAATGTTTTCATAGTGTTTACTTTGAACAAATAAGGACAAATACATGTAAATGTAAAACAGCTGGAAACTGAACCTCAGTACTCTGACTGCAGACTAAAGTCACGAGGTGTTAATTATCAAAAACTGAAGCTGATTTGTTCGTCATGACTTCTTCTTGGATCGGATCCTGATTTAAATCAGAATCATAGATCGTCTTTGCTGTTGACAAAGTTGCTGTCTGACATATTTGCGTGCAATGACATATTTGTCTTATTTAGTTTAGTTTAGATTGAAATTGAAAATAGTTTTAAAAATATAGCAGAAGCTATATATATAAAATCTGTTTTTCTTTTCTTTCTTTCTTTTAAACCTGATTATATTACTAAAAGTATCTAAAATGGATCTTTTTATTATCAGTACTCAGGTATTAGATTGGTGCCCAAATGAAAAAAACAAAAAACAAAAAAAAAAAAACAGTTTTATTCCAGAAATAATAATAAAATATTTAAAAAATAATACACAAACAATGTAAATCAGGCAGCAGTCTTAATGCTAAGCTAGGCTAAAGCCACTCCTGGACCTCTCTCTCTCTCTCTCTCTCTCTGACAGGGAGATGAAACTGACATCCATCTGATTTAAAGTAAATCCTTTGATTCATGTTTTAGAGACAACAGAGATCTACACATCTGACTAACTGAAATTAGTTTTTCTATTTTTTGACTTGTTATTTTATGACAGATCTTGTGTCTGACCAACCGTCCAGATCCCAAAGATATTCACTGTCATTTTAGACAAAGAAATTATTTAAACAAATACTTTTTTTTCTGTCAATCAACTTATTGTTGCAACTCCAGTAAACGCAGCACCACAGGTTCTTACCGGGTCTGCAGACACCCGCCGCTGGTTCTTGTTGCTCTTGGGAACAGGTACATACGTCCTGGGCGGCACCTGAGGGGGGAGGGTCTTACTTCGAGCCACAGGCTTCCCTGATTGGTCCCCGTTGGGCCTCCGGCCTCGAGGCCCCCCCTGCCGGCTCCCGTTGAGTCTGGACAAAGAGTCGTTGATGTTGTCGTAGTTCAGCTCTCCAGAGGTCACTTTGGGCTGATCCACTTCGGGCGTGAACAGGTTCACGTCTCGGGGAGCGGTGGACCCTCGAGGGGGCAGGAAGGGGTTCTCTGACCCTGACGATGGAGGGATAGGGTTTCTTGGTGGGATGGCGGGAGGGACGTCATCTGGAAGAGAGGGGAATCCTTTGGAAAGAAACCCGGATCCAGATCCAAGTGAGTCCCCGAGGCTGGAACCTGAATAGTCTCTGAACTTGCTGACCTCTGGACTGTCGAGGATGTACAGGGACTCTTTGACGTAGCCTCCCTGAGGAGGGAGCGCCCTGGCTGGGATGGAATGTGGAGACTGGGACCCTCCTGGCTGGTTCAGTGAGGAATCGGATCCAGAGAGGCCTCTCAGCAGGCTTCCCTCAGTGGAGGCAGGAATGGGCTGGCTGGGGCTGGGTCGGGGGCGTTCGATGGAGGGATTTGGGGTCTTGGAGCGGGTCTGAGTGGGAGCTCTGGATCCGGCCTGGCTAATTCCCGGACCGCTCTTGTCCTGTTTGAGTCTGGAGAGGGCGTCGTACTCCATCTGCAGGGCCTCAGCCAGGACCAGCTCCTTCTGACTGAGACCCAGAGCCTCCAGACAGCCCCAGCCCGCCTCGCTGCTCTCCTTCTGGGTCTGAGCCGCTGACATGCCGCCTCCTCAGCAGAGATGGAGCAGGAGGAAGGGAAGAGGTCGGCTGAACTGCTGCTAGAAGAAGCAGCGAGGTCACATGGAGCTACTGAAGATCAGCTGAGGACAGAGAGGAGAGACGGTGAGAGGAGGCGAACGATGAAAACAAATCATCCATCAGTACATGACCTTTTTCAGAGCTGTAAATAACAACTGGCATATTACTTCTTCTCTGGAGCAATACATGTCACCGTGACACAACCACAACACAAACAAAATGTGACCCACATCAAATTAAATTGTATATTTACTAAAGTTTAACAGAACATGATGGATGAAATAAAAACTCAACCATTTCACATCCCATGATCATGATGATGGAGTCATAGAGAACCAGCAGAGTGCAGTACGTTAATGGACTTCAGGATTCATAAAACTTTTATTGCAATATGGAGATTTGAATTTGAAGCCCTTCGCCTCTTCATCAAACCCAGTCAGATGCAGTGAGGTACAGTCCTACAGCCTGTAGTGTTACTGACAGCAGCAGTGTCTGTTAAACTGAGACATCTTTGTTGTCGTCCTAGTTTAAACTTTACCCAAACTCCCACAGAAGCACAGCAGAGACCTGGGAGACTGGATCAGGATCTGACCCACAAACCCTGAGTGTGTCTGCTGAGTGTGAAGGAAGGAAGGAAACACACAAACACAATAAGGAGGAAGCGATGAAACGAAGAGGAAATTAAACTGTGAGGGTGTTAAAAAAAAAAAACTGCAGGGAAACACCATCGGTTTAATACTGAACAACCGTCTGTCGGGTTATTAAGAAACATTTCATATGAAATCAAGAAAACTGCTGGTTCAGCTAAAGCTGGTCCTGAAGTCAACACATCTGACCAGTGTGATAATGACGTAAACTGGAAGATATCAACATCAGACAATAAGAATGAGCAGGCCTGCAACTAACGATAATACTCATTATCAATTAATCTAAATACTTGTCTGTAAAAATGTCAGAAAATACTGGAAACCGCACCCTGACAACTTCCTCTGTCTTTGACAACGGGCAAATAAAGCTGCAACTACTGATCATGATCAATGTGCCATTTACTCTCTGTTAATATTTGTCTTCTGACGATGATGTCTTGACTACCGTCATGTTAATAAACCCTCTTTGAATTTGAATTCAATATTTTTCTCAGTAAAATACCATAAAGTATAAAACGTTTGTCACAGACATCTTGTTTTTTCCAACCACAAAGGGCCGTTTGATGTTTGATCTGACGCCACACAACCCTACGTCAAATACCCCGAACTGTCACTTTAAGACTGAACCACAACAGACTTGAGACTTGACTCATTATCTCTGATATGAGCTCAGTGAATAATTATGTTCTCATCAGGGGCGGAGAAACATCTCAGACATTCACACCCTCAAGACGGTGAAATGTCACGTCTTGATTGGATCAATGTGACTGATAATCAGCATCTTTAGGCCCCGCCTCTCACAGAGTTCAGTTATTTATAATAAAACATGCTGAAATACGTAAAATGTCCTTCATGTGAGGAATTCAGACAAAGCAGCGTAATCAGCCCATCAGACAGCAGTCTGCTGCATTTTAAGCCCCCGGAGGGTCACCATTGACACACAGAGGGATGTTGTTGGGGGTGGGGAGGGACAGAGCAGAGGCTGCTGGGAGGAGAGGAGACCCCCCCCCCCCCCCCCCCCAAGAGACAGATAAACCCTGATAGACACACCACAAACCAGCTGTGTCCCAGTTTTACACATGCTAACACACATCAGATCCCAGTGTGGACAGAGTACTGGTCTGACTGGTTTGGATTTACTGGACCAACAGGAAATGTTGCAGGATGTCAGCTGACAGTCACACTGTAAGAACGCTGCAAATAATGATTATTTATATCACCCAATTTATTGATTTGATTTAGAGATGAGTCAATTAGTCGATCAACCAACTATTTTAACAGTTTATTCATAGTCCCAGTTGTTTTTCAAGCAAAAATGCTGAAAATCCTCAAAGTCCTGCTTCTCAAATGTGAGGATTTTACATTTTCTCTGTTTTCTATCACTGATGCAATTTTTCACAATTTTTTAACCCAAACGATTCATAAGTTATTTGAAATAGTAAACTGCAGGTGCAACCAATAATGAAAATAATTGTTAGTTGCAGCCCTATGATGTGATTTAACTTCAGTGTGATGTCTTCAGATGTCTTGTTTCGTCTGACCTGCAGTCTGAAACCCCAAAATATTCAGTTTGAACTATTTAGGAAACAATTATCAAAATAACTTCTGATTATTATTTGTGGATCAAACATTCACCTGATCAACTCATTGTTTCAAGTCGACTTTTATTGCAAGAGTTTTAAGACAAAAGAGTGCAGATGTGATATTGATTAAAAACAAATTGCTCAGCATTACTTCCAGGATATAACAGGATGTGGTATCAATAATGAATGGCTACACTGCAAACAGGAGCTGATCACGGCTGGTTGTGCAATTAATTCAGCATAACCTGGAGTCTGGAGTCTCTGCTGATATCTGTCCGTATGAAACAGTAAAACATACTGCCCAGTCCTACATCCTCATTAAGCCAGTCAGGTACACGACTGCTCAAAAGTTTTACAACTTTTACTACATTTTTCCAGTTTTTATTGAAATTTCAGCAGCTCAAGTGCAGTGTGAACATCTTTTTCTGTCAGTTTCAGCCTGTGTCCAGATTAAAACAGTGTTTGTCTCCTCAAAAATTGAACTTTACTGTGGAAAATAATCTCTGGCCTCACCACAGCCGACAACACAGAAGCAACGGGGGACACAGTCTTAACAAAAAAACTGTCAAATATAGTAACAACTAACTTTGTCCTGACTGTAAATGTTGAAGCGCAGCCGAGCATTTCAGACATTACAGTGAGACGTCCGACAAACTCATCAGAACAAGAAGAGAGCCGGGTCTGTCTAAAAAACAACCCCCCACAACCCCCCACCACGGAGACTATACCCTTTCAATCAGAGGGCGGAGGAGAGAACAAAGAGCTGATGTCAGTGTGTCACGTGATCGAGGTCAGACTTTCACTCATGAAACCCCCCCCCCCTCCCTCCCTCCCTCCCCCCGAGACTCACAAAGTGGGGGTGGGAACCACTGTCACCCTCCAAACCCCACCCACTGTCATGAACACACACATGTCTGGTTTCATCCAGATGGAGCTCAGATTTTAACTGAGTTTACAGAAAATGGTCCAAAGCAAAAAGATGAGTCAAGTCTTGTTTCCCTCCAACCGCGGCTGCGAGTCTGAGCAGATTGGTGGATGGAGATTAGAGCTGAACGATTAACCCTCTGGAGTTTTGGATATTATTGAAATTGCAATATGGCCAAGTGCAATATCCAAATCGCAAGAGCTGTTTTGATAAACGTAAAATGTGTCACAACAACAGAGACGACGACAGACTATAAATCCTCTAGACATTAAGAAACGTGCTTGTTTGGTACAAAACCCAACAAAAAAAATCACATCATCATCATTCTTCATTCACTGAAAGTCACTGAAATCGTGACTCATACGGCAATCGTAATATCTGCCAAAATAATCGCAATATTTGGGATTTTTTTTTCCTTCATATTGTTCAGACCTAATGGAGATAAACCGCTGGTGGAGCTGATTCTCCATTTGCTGCCATTAAAACACTGCAGAAGAAGATGAGGTCATTAAAAGAGCTCCGGTCAAAGCTCGACCGATGGAAAGCCATGTGGAAAACATGATGGAAATCTGACATCCCTGTTAGTTTCATGGATTAATGTGAGGAAGGTTCCAGTCTCATCGTCAGCGTTTATTCATACAAGTCTTGTTTCATCGTCACAGCTACTGTTAACACCTAACACAACAGGAAACAGATATTTAGACTTGTTTCCAGTGTTTCCACTCAGGTTTTCTATGCTCACATTGATCATGCTCATAAAAACGAGAGTCGTTCAGAGTCTTTACAGCAGAAATGAACCAGGGAGAAACTCTGTCAAACAACCAAAGAATCGTAGCTGTCACAGATGACGAGCTCAGAAAGACTGAAGTCAGAGAAATGCTGTCAGAGAAAATCATTCTGACCTTCAACAGTCTGAGAGGAGAGAGTGAGAGTCTGTGACTGAGAGATAAGACTCACTAATGTAGGTTTATATATGACTTTGTTTCACTTCTACCAGAGAAAAGGCTTCATGGTGATGACTCTTCTTTCTGGGTTAATGGGATCTCGGGACGAGTGTCAAAGTCTTTTATATAAGAGTCTTTTATATTCGAATCAGTTCAGTAGTCTGATGTCCTCCTGTCTCTAAATGTGATAAATCAAGTCTCTGTAGGGCAGCAGTTTATTCTCTGACAGAGGCAGCTTTAATAAAACTGGATGGTGACACACAGATAATAAGCTACAACAGCTTCCTGCATTGGGACAAAGGTGAGGTTTCTACTTTATTACAAGAGTTTTAAGACGAAAGACGTCAGGCGCGACCTCACTACATGAGAAGAGGATCACTCCTGTCCCGTAGAGAAGACACAGTGAACCTCATGACATATGAAGTTATGTAAGTTGGCTCGCTGTGGATGTTACTGTAGCTAATGCTACTGTAGCTAAGGTTAGTGTAGCTAATGCTACTGTAGCTAATGTTAATGTAGCTAATGTCACTGTAACTACTGCTACTGTAACTAATGTTACTTCACCTAATGTTAAAGTAGCTAATATCACTGCAACCAATGTTACTTAAGCTAATGTTAGTGTAGCTAATGCTACTGTAGCGAATGTTACTGTAGCTAATGTCAGTGTAACTAATGCTACTGTAGCTAATGTTACTGTAGCTAATGTCAGTGTAACTAATGCTACTGTAGCTAATGTTAGTGTAGCTAATGCTACTGTAGCTAATGTTACTGTAGCTAATGTTAGTGTAGCTAATGCTAGTGTAGCTCAGTTAAACAGCAACATTCAAGCAACAGCAACCAAAAAGTGTTTTACAGGGCAACCCATACAGGATTTAATATTGATATCTAACCGTTTAAAAAGGTCAATAATAATATATCAGCCAATATCAATTTTCTTTTCACAACTCATGATATAAATAAACAGGTTTTCTTTTTGTTTTTTAACCGACTGTTTCTAAGCATTTCTCTGGTGTTTCTCTTCTTCAGCTTCTTGACATTTATACTGAACAAACATATTAACACAACACTTTTAAATTTACTTCTTTGTTTTTTGAGTTGAAATAAAAGATCTAAGATTTTTTTCTACACACAGAGGGCTTATCTCTTTTAAATTATGTTCACACCTGACAGGTGTGGCATATCAAGATGCTGATTACACAGCAGCATGATTAATTCACAGGTGTGCCTTGGGCTGGTCACAATAAGAGAACACTTTAAAATGTGTAGTTTTATCACAGAACACATTGCCACACATGTTTACACATGTTTGCACGTGTTACTTGGCATGTTTCATGTCCACAAGAGCTGTTGTCTGTGAAATGAATGGTCATTTCACAGCGATAAGCTGTCTCCAATGTGAACAACATCTGGGAGAAAGAAGTCTGTTGTTCACTTAGAAAAAGTCTTAGATCATGAAAAATGGGAGCAAAAACACAAGTGTTGAATCTATATGTTTTTTCAGTGTGTCAGCTGATACACAGGTATTGAGTCTCTTCCTTCAGTATCGCCAGTGTAATTGCTCTTCCTTCTTCCGTGTCCAGAATCTCATGATCATCTTAGGTAATTTAATAATAAAGTTTAGCTATCACACCTTCTGCAGACACAGTAAAACTGTGCTACACTGAACCTTCCAGCAGACACACACACACACACACACACACACACACACACACAGAGTCTGACCTATGATCGAAGCCTTACGCACAAGTGATTAATCATCAAAAATTATGACTGTATCTGATGATCAGAGACACACCTGCAGAATATGAATTATGTTCATTCTCTCAGTCTGTGGTCTCTATGGCGATCTTACTGTTAACTATATCAATAAGACTGTTGAATTCATCTGATTATTATTATTATTATTATTTTAACGGAAAGCTACTACTAAAACACTGCTGTCCTTTCCTGAACACACACACTGAGGGTTTGAGCAGTCTGAGAGCAGTCACCACCTGAGCTGTGTTTGCAGCTAATGACTGTTTTCATTATGAATGATCAATTAAAGAGAAATTACACAGCTGGAAAAGGGTCAGGGTCTTACACCTAGACACAATGCAGAGGTTTTACTGTATTTTTTCAACAGCTGGAGCTGCAGCAGCAGCTGTAACACAGATCATGGAGATTAGATTCTCATAATTTGTGACTTAAGTTGTCCTCCCTCAGAGTCCTAATTCACTCGGATCTAACCTTAACACTGTGAAACACATGTTGATATGATTCATTGTGACATCCACTTCCTGAGTATATCATCATCTCTGATGTCCATCCACAAAAAAACCTCCAGAAAGCCAGGCAGCAAAAAAAGGAGACTGCAGAACACTCTGAATCATCATGTTTTTCAGTTTTCTTCAGCATCTTAGAATTCCAGAGATAGCTTTCTGTACGTTCATGACTACAGAGCAAACAGGAGCTTATCACAGCTGATTCAGCTACTTTTAAAAGGGAGTTTGACCACAAGGAAAGGCTGAGCTGGCTTCTGTACGAGCCAAATCAAACTGGGAATATGGATCATCTTCAGAATTAAAGAAGCCAAACAAAAATAAACCATGATCACACAGTATTTAGTTTCGGTTTCCCTCCACCCACACAAAAGACAAGCATGTTTTCTATAATAGTAGTGACACTGCCCATGAGCAAAGCACTGATTCGTTCATAATACTGCAGGTTTGTCATATGTGACTGCAAGGGATGAACTTTCACCTCTTCATAATCCTGGTTTCAAAAAAGTCTGTCAGTGCCTTCAGGTGTTTTCATTCTCATTTCCCTGCGTTTGTGGTCAGACAGGTGTGTATGACGTCATAGAAAATGACGGTACCATGTGAAAGGTCATTGTGCATTTCTATTGTGACTGTTAGCTTGTTTTGTTTTGGTTGCTGTTTATGTTATGCAGAAAATTCACAATTTTCTTGGGAAAATAAAACTTTAAGACTCAAACTGCAGAAGCCGAGAAACGAACAGACGCAGACTCGGAGGGAGAAACAGGTGACAGACGTCATTAATGTTAAAGTGAATGGGAGAATTATCTAAGTGGAAATGTGTCTGAACATCCCTGTGACAGCTGCTCCTGCTGCTGCTGCAGCTGCCAGCAGCCTCCCGACTGTCTGCTGCAATGTTTTCAGCCAACACACTGCCCAGTCCCATGGAGAGCCCGACCCGACCAGACTCCATTCAGAAACACGGTACTTTAACGTGGCCTTATTCTCTGGCCAACATCCACACCGCACAAATTGATATTTCTAGCAACATTGCTGCGATTTACAGAAGCACACATCCGCAGCATCAACTCGTTGTTAACTTTTTAAAAACACTCTAAACTTTTAATACTGATTCGACTTGTATTCCTACCGGGGTTTTTCCACCGCAGCCTGCCGTGGAGGGCGGTGGCAAACAGCCTGAGCCATTCTCCAGCCTGGAATTAAATCTACTGCAATTTACTACTTTTAGTTAAATAATATATGCGCCGAATTTCCCTGCAGACCAAAGCTATATGTAAAAATGCATCAGCCATGTCCGAACAGGAACACAAGCAAACCAAACAGCAGGACTATTTTTATCGTCATATATTTGAATGCAGTTTGGTTTGACCTTCCCTCCAAATAAAGGCACGTCTCCTGAAGCAGCGCAGTCTCACACTGAGAGAACCGACTGGAACTTCACCCTCCGCGCAGATAAATGCACCACAACATGCTCAGCACCTCGGCGGCGTCAGCCCGCCAGCTGCCCCTGCGTCTTACCTGACTCTCGGTCTATGGTCGCCGGGAGCGGGCGGCGGTTGCCATTTTAAAGCGGTTTACTTTACTGCCAAAAATTACATCGATCCCGCTTGACTGTCGATTCCCGGTCGGTGTATCCAAACACATGAACAGGCTGCAGTCGCCGGCACGGGCGGTATTCCTCACATTCAGAGGGTAGAACCGGATCACCGGCTCCGCTGTGTCAGCCTCTGTTTATTGGTTAAACAATGCAGCACACGGTGCGAGGTGGCTCCGGGTGCTCCGGAGCCTGGTCCCTGGCGATGGTCTCGGCTTTGCGTCAGCCTCTCCTCGGCAGCGGCGGACCAGCGCCGCCAAGTCAGCCGGTGCAAACACAGACAGCTTCCGGTCACTGTTTCAAAATAAAACCAAAGCTGAAATAAAACTTCTGAATTCCTAACCTTATACGAGCATATAACAGAGATTTCAACTGCATGTCACGGTCTTCATCAGTGGAGAGAGTTTGTTAAATTAAGATAAGTGAGTAAGTGGGCGTCTTTCGAGATCAAGAATGAACTTTCTCACCTGAATAAAACAAATAAATCAAATAAAATCAATTAATCCAGGGGTTAGATGACATGATGAAACACCACAGAACATACATGGTTTTCTTAGAGATTTATTCAAGATTTTAATTTCAGTATGAAAGAAATTATATAGGCTGGTAGAACCTTGGTCACATTTATCTATTTATTTATTTATTTATTGTGAGAACAAATTATCAGCTGATTAGGTTGGTGTGTTTGTAACTGCTTCATTGGGTAAGTAATAATTAAGTACTTATTTCGGAATTAAAAAAAAAAAAAAAGTTTAAAGAGTTCATCTCAAAATTAAAGTCGGTCACAGGCTCATTGTGTGTGACTTGACTGATCTTCAGTTTCTGGAGGAAAGAGGAGAAACAGCGACACCTGGTGGATATAACCTTCATCACAGAGCAGCCCGGTCAACATCATAACAGTGAGAGAGATATAAGGTCATCTTGGGAAGCAACTGAGTACATTATATGGAGGACTAGGGATGAAAAGTAATAAAGCATTTCCTTAATTTCATGTCTTAATAGGCATTAAAATAGGAATTTATAAATGAACTATTAATCCATCAATGAATACTTCAGATTTAAACTGGATTTACAAAAACAGTATAAAACACTCATGAAATAAACCATTTATAAATACATTTATTAATTCATGAATAAATCATAGAACTCGAAAAGACATTTGGAAAAAGGGAATACAAACCTGGATTCCCTCTTCAATTTCCATTTCCTTTTTCCAGCTGTTTTTGCTTTTCCTGTCAGTTAATTAATTAGCTTAGTCATTTAGCTTCTCCATTTACTCTCTCTGTGACACCCTGGGCCTCCAGTGCTGTAAACACAGTTATATATATTCAATTTTAATTGTTGAATGTACTTATTTGTGTTTTCTTGTATTTATTTTACTGCTGCTTGGATTATTTCCTGTATGATGTTATTTACAGAAATAGCTGCCACCTTCACCATATCCTAAAGGTTTTCTATGACAGGATATTAAATCAAATCTAGAATCTTTCCTCAATAATAAAGCAACAAGACAGGAGGATTAGTCCTTTATTTATTTTCATCCTCGAGCGTTTCTGCATCAGCTTTTAGTTTTATTGAACTGAGTCTAAATATGTTCATCAGAACCAACAGCGCTTCAAAAGCCACAAAAAAGAAAATACAGCAAAGTCAGACAGAAACAAAAATAAGTCTGTTAGATTTTAATCTTCATTGTTTTACACAGTGAAAGTCTAAAGTGATTTCAGTGATTGTACAGTTCGACGTAAGGCTTCAGTTACACTTTAATGTGACCTGTAAGATGCATCCCATCATATTAATGTCAAAGGCCTCGTGTCCCCTGTCAGATTCTGATTTACTTAATTCTTTCTTTAATACACTTCACACAGTAACTTCCTGTTCATCTGTTAAATGTCATCACAACATTTTTAGTGTCAGAGACAAAAACACATCGTGGTTCAGCTGAATATTAATGACTCTTTGTTCAGTGGACTGTAAAGGTGTTTTTTAATAATTAATAATTAATCTGTGTCTCATAATTACAAGAATAATAACTTGAGGTATGGAGTTTGTCATTATACTTTCTGTGTATTATGATTATATGTAATTAGCATCTTGTAATTACGAAAACAAACTGTATTTTGTAATAATAAGATATGAGATCATCTAATGTGATTAATATTTTTGTACATTGTAATAAACTCGGTAAACATGTCATTACAACATACAAATCATGTAAGTCTAACACCTTTTATCACAATTATGAATGTGATATCAATGAACAAGTGATAGAAAACGTTTGTTACAGTGCAGCTGAAGTTTGACCTGTGAAATCTTCATCCACTGACACAGATGAAATTTAGGCACAAGTTCAGGTGGTCGAACAGACGACAACATTTTCTTCGTTGTCTTCACCAGTCAGAGCTTTTGGGTGAAGTCCTGACAATTACAATCTACAATCTACAAGAATTACAGTAATTAGATAAGTTTCATCTAATTACATGATCTTGTAGAAAAGAGAAACTCTTTTCTTGTGCAACTGCAATACACTTCTAATTTACTGCGTTCAGAAAAGTCAAGGTAAAGACACCAATCTACATACAAGATACAAATCTTGTAATCGTGAGATTTTTCTTTGCATCTGATGATAACAAAAACAAATCTCATAAAACATAACAACTAAATGTGAATCTCAATATACAACTTCCTTATATCATAAATATGATTTAACATCTTGTAATTACAAAAAACAATATTCATAATTACACAGTTTTATAATTACAGCGTATAATAAGAGCTTTTCTTGTAAATGTGACTTCTTAGTTTCTTAATTGTACATAAATAGTATCTTGTATTTACAAGAATAAATCCTCAATTTCTAATTACGAGCAATGAATTCATATGAATGAAATATTTTCTTTGAATTACAAGTTCTGTATCTTGTACTTAGATGTACAGTATTTTGTAATAACAAGAAAATCTTGTATCTTCAGATATTTTCTTGTAATGGTTTTGAAATGTGTTTTCTCATTTCAGTTTCAGCTGAACACAGAATAACAGAAGTCTCTCTCCAAGTTTCTGACACCAGTTTGAATTATTTCAGCTTTATTTCTGAGAGAACATCTTTTGTTGACATTTTGGTGGACAGGTATAAATACTACAGTACCCATGAGCCTCAGCTGACGTTGCCATGGAGACATGTCTTCGTTGTTACAGTTGTTAACACACGTGGCTCCACAGCTGCTGAACTTTTTCAAAACTGATTGAAGCAGCAGATTTCAACGGTGAATCTCACCTGCCATTAATGTCTCATGTGACAGGATTTTAAGCGCCTAAATGCATCCAGGGAATTGTAGTTAACTCCTCCCCCAAAATTTTTATGTCCACAAGCTTTTACTTTCGACTTTTTATCAAAGAAACAGATATTTTCTAACACAGGAAGTGGAGACATCTGAAATAAGTCCTCACACGTCACTGCGACGTCTGTACAATCCTGTAAATTTGATTTAACATCAAAACGAAAAAAGAGAATCAAGAAAACTTCTTCAGGATTTTTTTGCCGGATGTTTCTGAATTTCCTCCGTTAGGAAACAGTTACAGATAATAACTCAAATCTATACGATCTCTAACATCGTCCTTCCTTCTGAGGAGACAGTTGTTGTCCACGTCCATGGTGCTCCGTCCATCACGTACCATGTGTCCAACGCCGATGAGGTCAAACACTAGATTGTCTGAGGCTGTACCTGTTCCAGGTGTGTTTACCTGAGATAGCTGTTCGTTGTGTATCCTGTCATCGCAGTTTCAGTGCTCGACTCCAAAGAGACGTCACAGCTGTTCTGTCCAGCTTTCAACATCTGGGCAGTGTGTCCTCAATGTGTCCTCAGTGAGGACACAGTGTGACACCTTTGCGTCCTATAAACACGTGGACAGTCCGGTTCTCAGTTCGCCGTCTCCTGGAGGACAGCAGCTCTGTCTCTACACCTCCTTCTCCTCTTTACTGTGAAAAGACGTCCGTCTCAGCTTCTCCTTCACTTTCACGAACTCCGGAGCTTTCAGGTTTTCCTCCTGCTCCTTCTCCTGCTGCTTCTCCAGCTGCGACGTGAAGACAGAGAAACAATCAGAGACAGAGCTGGGGCGAAGACTAACAGCAGGACAACCGACTCAGAACATGAGGAACATGGCAGGTCAGTCAGCCCACTGCTTCAGCCCAGACTAAAAAATCTCTACAACTATTGGATGGATGTGACTTTTGCTTCAGAGATTCATGACGACCAGAGGATGGATCCCACTGACTTTGGTGATCATGTGACTTCTCCTCTAACGCCACCAATAGGTCAAAGTTTTCACTTCATGGCTTCATAAACAACTTTGTACAGACCTTAAAGGTCCAAGTGACTGGACTTAACATGCTAACATGCTAACATGCTAACATGCTAAATTAATGTGAACATTATACAAAGCAGATTCAGCATCAACAATCTCTCAGTTTACATCCAAACTTTAAGTCATTAATCAAACAAAATCTGGTGTGTGTGTGTGTGTGTGTGTGTGTGTTACCTCCTCCAGCTTCTTGTGTCTCTTCAGCAGCTCGGCCTCAAGAGGAGAAATCTTCTTTCGGGCTTCGTCCTCCTGTTTCCTCTGTTTGATCAGCTGATCTCTTTTCCTGGACTCCAGCACTCTGTGCAGCTCCGGCTTCGTCTCCACAGTCACCCCACCCCTTGTAAAAAAAACACACACACACATCATATATATTATTTCACTCATTCATCCATTCATTCATTCTGCACATTCCTCAGGTCACACTCATGCATGTATAACACACAACACACTTCCATACATGTGCAGAAACATTCAAATACAAACTGTCTTTTAGTAGATCTCCCATTTCAGTGTTTGCTGGTTCTGTTATTGTCTGTATATTCTGTTATGCTTTACATGTCTGCATGTATTGAACAGTTGTGTTGTTTAATATTGTATATTGTTTGTATTTAAACTCTATGTGTGTGTGTGTGTGTGTATCTGGATGAAGGAACAGCTGTTGTAATCAGTGTTTCACCCAGCAGAGGGCAGTCTGTTATAATCAAATATTAACCAGTGAACAAACACATCACTGTCAACCAGTTATTTAAACCAGTTATTTAACGAAAAAAAAATTAATATCAGGTGAATTCAGAAATGATAAAAATCTATATAAGACCAGGCCCTAAAAAAAAAATGACTGAATTAATCCCGTTGAACATGATTTCACAAAGATTTTCAAACGAATGTTCACATGTGTAAAGAACTAAATTTTATACATATATATATCAGATTTAAAACTCACAGAAAGACATGCGTTTTTTTGCTCATTCAACATCAGAAAAGACAAATTCCCGAAGTGTTGTCTTTGTGGAGGCTGGAAATCTAAATGATAAAGACCTTACATTACATCACCAGCGTATCTGCTGCATAATTATCATTTCATTTGCATTTTCTGTCTGTTTTTTTCTTTACTTTTTTATTTTCAGAAACATTTTCTGAGCTTTCCACAAAACAGTTTTAACTCAAGGTTCACGTAAAAAGTATCTGAAGTTCAGGTTTTAGTAAAGTTTTTCATGACAGTGTGTTTTATTTGTGCGTGGTTCTGGTCCTCCTCCAGCTTTCGTTTTCCTCCTGAATGATAAAACAGAGAGAGAGAATAGTCGATCTCGCTTTGCCCACAGTGTAAAAGCTGTGTGAGTGAATGAGCGACTGTGTGGAGGTGATGTGAAAACTTTCCCAGCGTCCTCGGCGATGGAGGCCTGTGAGGTGGGAGGCTGTTGCTTAGCAGCATCTGTTCACTTCTTCAAAAACTCCGCACAGTCTCAGCTTCAACAGTCGAGACGGAGCAGACTCAGAGAGGACGGCAGTAAAGTCTGATTCTCTTCATGTAACCAAAGATATTTGACCAGAAAAATACTGCTCTCTGATTGGTCAGCAGGCATCAGTTAAATGATGATATGGGTCAGTCAGCAGATGTTGCGTGAGTCCAAACTGGAAACATATTTTCATGCGAAGCTGCATCAAGAGATTAAAGTCAATAACCCTCGATAATCTGGTCCAACTGCTCGCAATGACGATTCATTTTAAAAATCCATCCTGATGTCAGGACCAGGTGTGTGTCCCTTCAGAGTTATAAAGTCACGGTGAACAAAGTGAGACGGCAGCAGATCTTCTGTTGGTTCGTTAATAAAATCCTGAAGAAATTCTGACATTTAGTTTTAAGGTAAGGCAGAGACACTCACTGTTCCTCCACCTCAGGCCAACATGGAGACTTTTTGTGTTCATCCATAAATATGCTCACTTTCAAAAATGTCCCCACTGTCAAAAACATGTTCAAACTTTCCAAAAACAAACAAAACTTTATTTTAAAAAATGTACACAGAAAAATGCCCTACTTTTCAAAATTGTTCTCACTTTCCAAAGATGTCCTCACTTTCACAAAAACATATTTACTTTCCTAAAAATATAAATTCTTTCAACAAATGTCCTCAGATTCTTAAAATGTCCCCACTTTGCTTAAATGTCCTCACTTGCCTGAAATGTCCCCAATGTCTTCAAATGCCCAAAAATATTCCCACTTTTCACCAATGTCCTCTCTTCCTGCAAAAACTACTCACTTTCTAAAAATATCTTCATTTCCAACAGATGTCCTCATGTTTGTCACATTCCCCCACATGTCCCCACATGTACATGTACTCAAACACACATGTACCTTTTGTAGCTGCTCAGCAGCTCTCGGTGAAGCTCTTGGTGACTTTTTGAAGCTTTGACAGGATTCACCAGCTTCTTGGGTTTTATGAGGTCGTCTTCCTCGTCTCCCTCCACGTAGTCAGGCTGGGGGACGTAGCTGGACACCGGGGATGGTTTCCTGTGGACGCCCTCAGACCGGTGCTGCTGCAGGTCTGCATACGCTGAGGCTGCAGACACAAGGGCCGAGAGGACTGGATTATCATGGAGATTACATTTCTAACATCTGAAACTTAGTTCTAACTAAATCATCTGGATGTTTGTTCATATTGTCACTGTAATGGACGCTGCAGCCTGTAGGGGACGCTGGCAGCACTTCAGACATTCACTCTGGTTATTTCATGATGTCATGTTATTTGTCAGGACGAAGCTGGATGTTTTTGAACATAGACGTCCATGTTTTCAGGTTTTATAGTCTAAACTGACTCTGTCTATGAGTCTCTGTCCATCGTCCCCGTTTGTCTGAGAGAAGAAAGAACAGATTAAAAGGCATCTGATCCGAGTCCTCAGATATTCTGGGAGACAGAGATCAGATGTCATACAGTTCACTTCACACAATGACCTCTTTCTCAAGTGCAACCAGAGACCAACATCCACTGCTGCTTCATATTTCAGAAAAATTAAATGAGCTCTGAACGTTTGGTCGTCAGGCTCGTCTCCGTTAGAAACCCATGGACGGCTACTGTGCGTGGCCAAAAGTATGTGGACAGCTGCTATAAGAGCAGATGTTGAACCTGGTGCAGGGATTTGTTCCTATTCAGACACCAGAACATCAGTGATGACAGAGGTGATGGATGGGGTTGAGGTCAGGACTCTATGCACGATAGTCAAGCTGGGAAACCAGAGTCTGAAGACTTTGTTCTTTACACAACAAGGTCAACACGTGCTGCATCATCTGAAAATAAATCTGAAACAGTTAGTCCAGTAATTGATTAGTCAATGAACAGAAAATTAATTGGCAACTATTCTGATTGACAATTGATAGTGTAAAACACAAGCAAAACCTCTGATCATTCTCAGGTGTCAGTTTCTCTAACGTCTGAGATTTCCACTACGTTTAGTGGATACAGTGCTGTAGCGCCTCCCGGAGGGCACAGGCTGAAACAGATAATGAGCATTGTGGGATTCGGACAGATATAATTTTACCTGCCCTTCTGATTATGTGTTTGTTGTACAATGATTCAGGTAATGGGAGGGGGAGTGTGAGTGTCTGGGCTGCCACGCCCGACTGCTACAGATGTACCCTAACCCTGTAGTGAGGAGACTTTGAATGAAGGCTGCATGGATATATCACAGTTATATCACAGTAAACTGAATATCTTTGGGTTTTGGATTGTTGGTCATCAAATTAAAATAAAACATTTTAGATGAAACTCACTATAAAGCCAAAGTGAGCTGCCGATTCACCTGATAATTCTCTGTAGGTTCATCACTACCAGACTCCTGAACATGACAATATAATAAGCTACACTGTTAAAATATATATTATAGCTGCTTCAAGTGATGATGGACTCAGACTGTGACTTTTAACTTCATTTGAGAGTCTGAGAGTTTGTTCTAATGATTCAACAGGAGAGAAGTCAGCTGACTGTCTGTGGGACAAATGAACAGGACTGATGCAGGAAGCCTGGACGGACTTTGAGATATTGTGTGGTTTCATATTGATTCGAGACAGGACGTGCGAACTGAACCCTCTCTGTAGTATTGACATCTCTGTGAGTGCCTGTTATCTGGTTACAACTCAGAGCTGATTTCTGCCTCTGTCTGATATCAGTGCAGAGGAAGACTGTCTGACTCCGGCGCAGCCAGGAGGAAATGTGATCATGTTACACGTAATGTAGGAGGATAATGTCTTTAGTCTTTAATTCATTCATCCTGAGGAAATTTTTCATGCTTTCTCAGTCACACACACACACACACACACACACACACACACACTCTCACACACACACACACACACATTCTTCAAACGCAGCAGGTTGAACTCTGAACTGTTACATAAACACTGAGGTCAAACCCTGACCTGTTGCAAAAGACAAAATAGTTTGACTAAGGTCAAACTGCAGCTATTGATCAGCTCCTACAAAAATCATCCTGTTTTTTACTGGACTGAACTAGAAGTAAAACACCAGAGAATAATGGAGCTAACCAGAACTACAACATCAGAGAAGACTGGACCGAACCAGGACTAAAACATTAGAGTATACTCGACTGAACCAGGGCTAAAACACCAGAGTATATTGGACCAAACTAGGATTAAAACACCAGAGTATACTGGACTGAACCAGGATTAAAACACCAGAGAACAGGGGACTGTACCAGGACCGAGTGCAAGAGCTGTGTCTGCATGACTCCACATTCCTTTAATTGTTCCAAAAACCTGAGAAATCTTTCATTACATAAGAATCTCAGCAGAGTAAGTTGATGTAAACTCCCACTCTCGGCAGTGACTTCATCCTCTCACTCTGACTTCATCCTACACTCACCAACCTCACACTGGTTTATTAACAGTTCGCACCAAGCTGCTCTCCAACACACGAGACTTGAATTATTTATGAAATGCAAATCATAAAAGCGGATATACAAACTAACTAATAACAGCCTATAAAAAGTATATGAACTAATGACTATAAATAATCTCCATTTAAATGAGTAATTTATTCCTGCATATGTGAATAAATTATTTTAATTCTAGTTCCAAAATAGTGAGTGAACAAGTTGATTTTCATTCATATAACAGGTGAAATAATCTCCATCAACTTATCAACTTTCTTGTTTTAAGAAAATACAACTTTTAGAAATGTTTGCATTTGTTTCGAGTTTCATTCTGTCATAAAACAACTTACACAAAACTCACTTTTCTACAGATTCACCCAAAGACGCACAGGTTCAGCCAAAGCTCAAACATGAAGAAAATTCAATAAAACCGATGAAATTATTTCCATAGTTAGTAGGATAATTGTCACAGTGTCAGGACACAGATTTAGTGGTTTGTAGAATTTGGACAGAAAACCACATTTAGTTTCCTGTTTTATTGGTTTATTTGACACTTTGATCAACAGAACATGAACAAAATTATTGATTAAAACATAATAACCACACACAGAACAGTAGTACACACCCACCAGTATAACACATGTAAGTTCACTACAACCTGAACTAAAGACGCTTCAGAGGGATCCAGGATCAGAGTCAGTCCTCCTCTGGTTCTTACCAGACTTCACCATCCCCTCCCTGGCTGTGCTCGGCTGGTCGGGGCTGCCGATCCTCCTCTGATCCATCTGATCCATCTCATCTGGTTCTGATCTGGTGCTGATGATCCTCATGTGTTTCAGTCAGCGGGAGCAGCAGCACTCCTCCTCTGCCTCCTCTCCTCTGACTGAATCATGCCCAGTGCGAAACAAAGGTCACATGATCCGCTCAGTGTTTCCTTTGCTCCTCCTCCTCCTCCTCCTTGTGTCTCCCCTCCTCCTCCTCCTCCTCCTCCTCTTCCTCCTCTTCCTCCTCTTCCTCCTCCTTCTCCTCTGTGTGAGGCTGCATTTCTGCTCTGAGCCTTTTCCCACGCTGCTGTCAGCTTCAGTTCATCTTCCAGATCCAGCAGGTTCAGAGTTTCAGTTTTCAAAGATTAAAGACAGTAAAGTGTGAATGTCGTGTGACGACCTGCTGGTGGCGCTGAAACAAACACGGGGGCTGTTTCATGTTTCAAGTGGTTGTTTTCTGTCAGAACGGTCAGATCTGGATTCATTTTTTTTTGTCTCACCTCTTCACCTCCCTCTCTTCTTCATCATCATCATTCAGTGTCGGCACCTTCACCTTGTCGCTCGAACAACGTCACTGTTTGTTATTCTTGTATGAATGCAGCTCATGTTTCAGTCACATCTACTCGTGTGTGGCAGCTGAGGATCTGAGCGGTGTTCACGCCAGAGCTGGAAACATGTCACTTACAACTATGAACGAGAGCCATCAACACGAAGAGCGTAGCCTTGTTGTGCTGGCTCCTGAGGTGTTTTTCTTTATTCTGTGTTCAGCGTTTCTTTAATGGAATAATTTCCACCCTTCAATAATCAGATTCCCATCTCAGATGAACTGAGCTCTGTCAGGATCTCATCTACAATGTGGCAGCGCTGGCGTTGCAGCCTGTATGTAAATGTGTGATTATTGTGGAATGTCTTTTGTTTTTATGTGGATTTGTTGTTGTTGTTGTTGTTGTTGCTGTTGTTTTTCTTTTTGCTAGGGACTCCCCTTTGAGCTGTGTCCTTAATAAAGATCGAATGAATGTTATTATTGGACCGTCTCTGTGCTGCAGTCATGCATGGAGGATCTATTCTGAGCCGGCTTCCCAGACTCTGACGTTTAACTGAGTTTGCAAGTAAAAGTGACCTTTGACCTGGAGAGTCGCCTTGGGCCTTTGACTGAGACTAATAACTCATATTTTCTCTCTGAGCTGAGGCGAGTTGGTGGCGCTTTTTGCGTTGAGCTGCAGGAGAATGAGCTGCTTCTGGCAGGAGCTCGCCACTGAGGTTGAAATCCTCCGGAGGATCAGATTCGTTATCCGACATGCCTCAGCGAGCGGAGAGGATGCAACACAAAATGTTCTGCTGTCGTGCTGAATGACAGCAGAGAGAGACAACACTTAAAGTTTGACACGTTACAAGTAATTGGCTGAAGGCCAGTGTGTCAGGTTGTGATTGGATGAAGATAAGAATGAGCTGGTGAAGTTTAGAGAGAGCAGGAAACGGTGCACAAGGAGATAGTCTTGACTGAAGCTTCATTTCAGTAGATGTCAGAGTTTTAAATGTGCAGGGACGAAGTGGCCCAGGATTTTTCGCTTGGACTGATTTAGTTTGTAGAGCAGAAACCGAAGCTGTACGACATTATCCTGCCAAATAAACCCAGACTAGACTCCCGTTGTCTCCTGCCTAATGCTTACTGTGTAAAACTGGACTCACTGGGAGCTGTACTGGGAGCTGTGGTCCTGAACCCACTCTGCTGCTGTGCTCCTCCTCCTCAGCCTGTTGTCTGCAGAGTCGCTGCTTCTAGATTCAAGACTTGAGGCATTTGGATTTTACCGGATTTTCTCTGAGCTTTTCATACCGCAGTTTTTTTTTTACTTTGTTATTCATGTAAAGTGAGTCAGCAACAGTCCACTGCTGCCTCTGTGTTTATACAGTGATAAAGATATAAACACAGAACCAGTGGGAGGAGGATCGGAGCTGCAGGGCTGGAGAGGCAGACGACCACAGTGGGCTGCTCCACGGGGCTCCATCTCTTTCCCTCTTGCTCAACCTTTCCCTCTCTCTGTATTATTATCATTTTTCACATTGAGGCCCAATAGCCTGCTGCTAAAAGCTGCTGTGTGAAGTTGATGTTGATTAAAAGTCATAAACCTGATTCGCAGTGGTCGTCGGAGTTTATTTAAAGAACTGAACGCGACAGCCTACGTGATCTATTTATGAACTGATTGTGTTTACTGACCCCCAACAACCGGCTCCTGATTGGTCACTCAGCGCCTGTAAGTGTGTGTGCTTAGTTTGAAAACCTGTCACACATCTTCATGGTGTAATCAGAGTGGACAGCAGTCTCAGGAAGCAGCTGACGGTTCAGTGGCTCCACAACAGGCTCATTACAGCCCGATCCACACTGAGACAGCAGTGATAAGCCTGAACAACCATTCACAGGTCAGACTCGCCTCCCGCAGGCCACCTTTGTTCTCCCGGTTGGACGGTAACCTGAGAGGGACAAACATACCTTTGCCGTTTGGGTGCTTTCCATTTTTCACACACTGCTGCTTCAGCGGAGGCTCGTGGTCGATGGTGTACGCCTTCTGGAAGAGAGAGAAGAAGAAGAAAGAGAACATAGAAGGTGTAAGTGCAAAGTCATCACGCGAGGAAGGCAGAGCGGTGGATAAATAAACAGAAATCCACAACACGACAATCATCAACACAAAAAACAGACAGTAACACTGAGGGGAACTAAAAGTTACCGAGGTTGGTGGTACTGAACAGTCTCAGCACACACAGCTACGGTAAGCCCTGAGGGACAAACCCGTCAATCATTCATCACCTACGAAGGGTAAAGCTGTAATGTGGCTTTTCCCAACAACCTGAGCAACGCTGACACAAGTGACATCACCTGAGGACATTTACCAGACTTCACACAACTCCCTCTGCAGACACTTTACAATATATATGTAGTGTTTCTCCCCAACACCTGGAAACACCTGGAAACACACACATCCAGGCTGCAGGTTTCCTCTGAAACATGTGAGTAAGTGTGAAAGATTTCTGTCTGGAAATGTTGGACTGTTCCTTTAACAACATTCAGCTGCCAGAGTTTAGTTCTTCTGATCCAGATTTTCTCTCTTCCCTCCTCCTCCTCCTCTTCCTCCTCCTCCTCCTCCTCCTCTCTCAGGGTGTTTCTCAGCTGCTCCTCTCCTGTCTGACTCCAGGTCAGTTGGACAGCGTCCTCTCTGACTGAATGGACTTTGTGTTGGTTGCTAGGAGACCTCATCAGGCTTCAACATGGTGACAAGGCCCTCTCTGTCTCATAGACCCCCTTCCCCTCCCACCTCCCACCTCTTCAGGGCTGACGGGGGTGATGGTGGGGGTGAGGGGTATGAAGTATGAAGTCTCCACTGTGCCCCTCGGTAATTTAACTCAAGGTTCAGGACATTTAAACCAAGACGCAGCCAACATGACCAGGTTAGTTAGTGATTTATAATAATTCATATGTTCAACATAAACACAAGATTCACTGAAACAATAAAAGCCGAGGGCCCTTCTCATCACAGTGCATCAACATCAGTGATGCAGGAGACACCTATAGGTCCCCTGTCAGTTCAGTTATTATTGTTATTTGTGCATTGGTTCACTGTGAGACACAAGCAGTGATGGAAAGAAAAGAAACTCTCTGTCTTTTTGTAAATGCATGAGGAGATAAACTGTAATACGTTGTTACTGTCAGTGCGTCCTGAAGATGAACAGCAGCCTCTCCCTCTGCCCTCGGACTGGACGGTCTGTGTTGTACAGATTAATCCCCCTGAGGCGTGTCTGTGTTTGTTATGTTGGGCTGCATGTGTGGCATCTGAAGCTTCCACCCTCAGTGTTGTCTGCTCAGGCTGAAAAAGACGAGTCTGACCTCTGGTGGTCAAACATCGACATTACACCTCCGTCATCACACAAACCAGACGCAGCGGCAGAGGAAGTACTGAGATCCTTTACTGAAGTAAAAGCAGTAATACTGCTGTGTAACACTACTCCATTACATGTAAAAGTACTGCATGTAGTTTTATCAGGAGGAAAATGTACTTAAATGATCGATGTAATGGTACTTTTTTTTTTTACTACTTGTTTTTTACTGAAGCATTAATGGCAGTATAGAAGCATTAGAGGCATTTTTATATTGTCACTGGTCAAAAGGGAGCAAATGTTCGGACTTTAAGTAAAAATTATTGTCACAATGTGCCAATTGTTTTTAATTTAATTCACTGTTTGTTCAGTTTTAAGAGTGAAAAATGTCCTTCACAGTTTCCTGTAGAACACAGAGACATATTCAGATGTCTGGTTTGTTTTGACCGTCAGTCTGAAACTCAAAGAGTTTCAACTTATTTTAAAAGAAAAGTCTCAAATTCTCACGTTTAAGAAGCTGGAACCATCGAACATTTCTACCTGAAAAATGATTTTGAGTGACTAATCATATTAGTTCATTTTTCTGTCGATCAATGAATCAACAGAGTCACTGAATCATTGCAGCTCTACTAATTAATTGTAATATTAATCTTGTTGGCTGGTCAAATCTATAAGTTATAAAACTCATAACCAGCTCCCATTGGGTTCAGGAGGCGGACACCTTCTCTACATTTAAGATACAGGTTAAAACCGTCCTCTTTGATGAAGCCTTATGGTTCGAGCGGCCTCAGGTGAGCCCTGAACCATCCCTTAGTGATGCTGCTATAGGCCGCTGGCGGAACTCCCACAATGCACTGAGCATCTCTCTCTCTCTCTCTCTCTCTCTCTTCATGCAGGTATCTCTGACTCCTGTTATGATGATCTAGAAAATTTATAATTAACATTTTTTGAGCTGAGTGAAAGAATCAGACCACCTTAAACAACCTCCGACCACCTTAAACAACCTCAAACCACCTTTAAACAACCTCCGACCACTTTAAACAACCTCAAACCACCTTAAACAACCTTAAACAACCCCAAACCACCTTAAACAACTTGGACCACCTAAAACAACCTCTGACCACCTCAAAAAACTTCAGACCACCTTAAACAACCTCCGCCCACCTTAAACAACCTTAAACAACATCAAACCACCTTAAACAACCTCCGCCCACCTTAAACAACCTTAAACAACCTCAGACCACCTTAAACAACCTGATAATCAAAATGTGTAACGTCATCTTTGTGTCTTTGAGACACTGGAAAACAACAGAGTATAATCTAACTAAACTAAGTTTTACAGAGATCTGAAGGAAGAAGACCCCCCCCCCACAGGTGATTACAGAGGCCTGTTCTTCTTCTTCTTCTTCTTCTCTGAGTCAGCTCAGGTTTCAGTATTTTTAGCTGCAGAGATTTTCTCTGATTGTCTTAATCTGCCTCTCTGGCCCGAGCTGGATTTAACCCACTGATGATCCACACCACAAACACACAAACCTGGTTTATTTAAAGCCACGTGTGTGTTTCGTGTGAGGGATCGGTCGGTCTGACCCTGGATCTGTCAGGCTGCAGCGGGGCGGAGGTCAGAGTCAGCTCCATGTTCTTCTTCTTCTTGTTAATGAGCGACGTTACGTAACCGCAGCTGAAAATACTCCGCTGCTATTTATTCTCTCATACTTGATTCACTTACTCACACATGAGTTCACAGAAGACAGGATCTGAGCTGTGATTGGTCGAGACCGGGCCGACATGCACACAGCATCTGACTGTCACTAAATCACATTCTCCACCATATTAAAACACAGTGAAGGATTTAACCTCTGCTCCATCTTAAATGAAACTGAGAGCTGTATCCAAACCTTAAAGAGGCTTCACTGCTGTAAATAAAACATATAACATAACTTTATTTATACATTTAAATATGTAGAAACAAGCTGAGAAAACCAGCTGAAATTGCTGGTGTGTGTATGTGTGTGTGTGTGTGTGGGGGGGCTTTAACATTTAAAAAGTTAAAAACTAATTTGCAGATAAACACAGACTTTCAATGAAAGCAGCTGGAATAAACTCACTTTACATGTGAACAGATTTCTGCTTTTTTTGTGTTAATATCTGATGAAAACTCTGTTTTTAATAATATTTTAAGTCATTATCACTAAAGATTTGTCACTTATTTTATATCCTGGCAGCTTTATACTTTATTCAGTCTTGCAGCTGAGTTTGTGCTGAGACAAAAGGAGACATGTACGTGGGGTGAGGACAGGATAACTTTAATATTACTGTCAGGTTCCTGGTTTAAAACAGCCCTTTGAAATAACCCAGAAACAGGTTGCTTTTACTGTGTCAGTGCTGTATGAACCCTCACAGGTGTGGCTGCAGTTTGACCACTAACCACCTGGTCAGTACACAGCTTAGTGACAAATACAGCTGTCCAGATGTGTTAGTAAACGTACAGCCAGGAACCAGAACTGAACCCCAACCCCTGGCAGCTGTTGTGTTCACTGTCGCTGGTTGACATGAACACCAACATGAAGTAGGAGGAGTTCAGTGAACGCCACACAATATGTTCTGGAGACAGTTTAACACTGAACCCAGGAGGGGAAACGAACGACTCAATCGCACTGAGGCAACAGCAGAACGACAAATGACCTGTTACTCTCAATTATCTGTAAATCAACTCAGGACCCGACTGAAGCCGAGGCCTCGATCTGGAATCAAACAGGCTCACATCTGCTGCTGCTGCTGCTGCTGCTGTGTCCACTACAGGCTGAAAACCCCCTGAGGTGTCATAAATACAGATCAAAAATAAAAGATGATTCAGTGCAGACTCTGGAGGCAGAAGAACTCTTGATGTTGTTAGTGTCAGGTCCTGCTCAGACCAGCTCAAGTTCAGACGACCACACTGCAAAATCCATTTACATCTTTGGACACATGACAAGATAAAAAATTCAATGCACATACAGACAGATAATCTGGAGAGTAGACCAACGCTGCGTATAGACTGTGAGACTTCAGACCCCCCCCCCCCCCCCCCCCTCCCTGTCAGTATGTGTCGATGTGCAGCTCTGAGTTTCATCTGGCCTCCACCTGCTGCTGCTGACGGGAACACTGCACTGAAAATAGACTAATGAGTCCATCTGAGGGGACATTACAGATACATGACCCACTCCGATACCTCCCTCCATACGCCCCTCCACCCTGCTGTCAGCTGTTGGTCACCGTAGCAACAAACACACCCCAACACGCCCTCCTCAACAGGTGTGTCGCGCCCCATAGCTCAAATATTTGTAAATGCTCTGCTTTTTCTGAGGGTGTTTGAGGAATCTTTGTTTCCCAGCTCTGTGGAATTTTCCTCTTTTACTGTAGCCGTCACAGAGGAGTGGCTCTCTGCCAAACAGTCACAGCACCTGGCCACAGTGATGCACAGGTGTACTCCAGGACACTGTGACATCACTGTCAGGTGTGGTTACAGGTGTCTGACCACCAGGGGCAAATTAGTGAAGGTAGTACACAGGACTGAGAGAAGTCTCATCCATTCAAGTCCAAGTCTTTGATTTGATGTGGTTTTTAGAAGACCTGTCTCGATCAGAGTAATTTGTGTTTTTTGTTACCCTACTTTTTTTTCAAAAAAAATTAACAAGATTGACTTTGTATCTTCAATATTCTTCCTGTTGAGTTTTATGATCCATTGAGAGACAGAAATGTCTTTGTTCTGGGAGACTGCCAGGATCCAGGACTGGGATAAGTGCTCATTGTGAAACTGGCACACATAACTAAAAGAAAAAAAAAATTATAAATAAAATGAAACAATACATAATCTAAAACATATACATGTATATATAAAAAAAACAGTTCAGCTCGAGGTTGTGATGCCACATGACCTCTGACCTCTGATCTCATCTTCACATCCTAAAATATCTCAATCAGTCGTGGTGTCATGTTGTAAATGTGAATTTAAATATAGCCTCTGATTTCTGCAGCATGTAAAAAATGACTTTATTACTTTATTAAACTTGAGTCCAACAATGACAAACAAACACCAGTTAATAAAAGTAAGGTTGCAACTAAGAGTGACTTGTTTATGTTTCGGTTTATTATCATTATTGTTAATATTTGTTTCATGCTACGGCTCAAATTGCTTTGAGCTGGAATGAGCTAGAAACATGAAACTTGGCCCAATAACTGGAAATGATGTGCATGTGCTTCCCAAGAAATATGATCCCAATCAGCCAGATGGTGGCACTGTGATTAAGTGCAAGTTTGGAAAAGCCACACCCCTGACACCACGTCCGACTCAATGTGCTCTACAAAAAAGCCTCTGGGACCCTGAAAGTCCCCCATGATGGATTTTCGGCCATATTGAATTTTTTGACATCTCCTCCTAATCTTAGAAATCTTACTTATTTTTCAAGACATTGACCAACAAACTCCACAAGGGGCGGGGCTTCGCAGGAAATTGGCCACAACTCGTTAACAATTTGACCAATCATCCTAAATCAGGGTACATATCCTCAGGTTATGTTTATGTGAATACGTCTACCAAAGCATTTTGAGCAGGTCGTGTACCTCAAAACCCGGAGGACAGAAGATCACCACATTTGAACATGATTTTGGGGCCAGTTTTAACCAAAATCTGAAGAGCTAAATTGATTGCTCCAAGTGGGCGTGGCCTATCAAATTATTATTCATAACTCAAGATGCCTTTGATCAATCCTGACTAAACTCTAAACAGACGTCCTGCAGTACGTCCTGAACATATACACTGAGTTTTGTTCACATCCGATGAAGGGGGGGGGGCAAATGGTGGAACTTTGATTCCAGTTATTGAAAAGCTGTATACGTTGTAATGATGAAACAAGTGTCTGATTGGTCTAAATCCTTCAACCTGGAGTGACTTTGCTTGGATTTGTGAAGCCTGAAACCCACTAAAATATCACTTAGTGAATCACAATGAAAGATACCCATCAGTTCCCACAAGCTGACATCTACAAATATTGGATGGATCCAGGGAGTCGTCACCATTTTTGTTTGAAAAATGATTTTAATGATGTGTCAGTCGACTAATCAATGAATCAGCTGATCAATTCAGCTCAAACTAAACATGTAAAACTTCTGACAGGTTCAACAGGCCTGAGCGTGTTTCTGTAGCTAAAGACAAAATGGTAAAACAGTCAGTTTGTGCTGGAAATAGATGGTTTCACAAACTTCCAACCCACTCTCACAACAGTTTGTGAAATTTAATCTATTGATTTATGTACATGGACTCGAACTTTCAAACTAATGTATTTCAAATGGAACATTTTTTAGAATTAATGAAGCGCTACATTCATCAAGGCACAGACATGGCAGCAGAGTCACTACGAGGTGGATGGACGACGTCCAAAGATCAGGACCGTGACTACAGAGACCAGGTTCACATCCAGAGCCCCGTCTGTGGTTTAGACAACAAAATCTCTTTGGTTAAGGTCAGTGAAAGATGGGGGTTCTGGTTAATTGTAAATAAACAGGTTGTGTCTGAAGTGACTGTGAACTGTCTCTGTATCAAACCAGATCTTTACGAAACCTTAACCAAGTGCCGTGAGAGTCTGANAAGATCAGGACCGTGACTACAGAGACCAGGTTCACATCCAGAGCCCCGTCTGTGGTTTAGACAGCAAAATCTCTTTGGTTAAGGTCAGTGAAAGATGGGGGTTCTGGTTAATTGTAAATAAACAGGTTGTGTCTGAAGTGACTGTGAACTGTCTCTGTATCAAACCAGATCTTTACGAAACCTTAACCAAGTGCCGTGAGAGTCTGAACAGAACCATAAACCCACAGTGTACTGTTAAGAAACCCATGTGCACAAATCTTTACATTACATTTCACGTTGAAGCTTCAATCAAATCCAAATCTACTGTAAAACCGAGCTGTTAAACTCTTAGGGTCTAAACAATAATCCTTCTCCGCCAGAGACAAACAGCAGCAGTGCAGGACTGACCTTCTTTCCATACGCAGCTCCCATTCTTCCCAGTGCTCTGCTGAGTCTTTGTTGTTTGTTTGTGGCAGCAGGTTCACAGTCCTCACAGTCTTCCTGCCTTCCTGCCTTTCTTTCCTCTCCAGCACTTTTCCCAGCAGCCTCTGCCCCCCAACCCCCCCACCCCCAACACCACCACTACCACCACCTCTTTGTCCTCCCCCCCCCAACTGCCTGGCAGCCTG